GGGTAGTTTTGAACTGCTGCAGATGTCGGTCAGTCTGTCTGCACAGCTCTCTCCCATCCCCAATCTCTTTACATTCTAATTAGCACCTAATATCTATAGGAGTGAAACTTTACACACGCCAGTGACCGAGGTCTCTCAGCCATCTGGCTGGCGGATATCAGCAGGAGCACACACACCCATGCTCTTGGAAGGAGAACGCTGCTCCATCTACCTTCCCTCCTTGACCTGTGTTTTCCCCTGGACCGCTGGTGCTCTTAGCCAGACACCACAGAGGCGGGCACCCCAGGACAGCCCAGAAGGAGAGGTGTCCTAGGAGTCTGCACGCTGTTTCTGCCCCACAGGCTATGCCTGACATGGAGAAAGCTGTCAGCAGCTCTGACGGATGAAGAGCAGGGAAACCAGCTGCTTGGCAGGCGGTCGCCTATAAAGGAAGAGACCACTGCCTCTTTGCAGAGATCTGTGCTGGCCATGTGCCTGGCTGGAAGAGTGGAAGTGAGTAATACCGTGCTGAGGGAGGCTGTAAGACTGAATGAATGTGAAGGCCTGGGACTTTAAAGTATCCTGGAACATAGTGCCTGAGGTGTCAACCTCCTCTGCCTCTTCAGTGCTTCTTCCCTGAGCAGGTGGAGGCATGGAGAGTGGTAACACAAGCTCCCTACTCTGCTGATTTGGAACTTCCCCATCTGTTTTCCATCCTTGCTCTTACCCCTAGGACAGCCACACCAGCAAGAAAACTTGTGGCAATGCAGATCCCTGGGAACTGGACAAGCTCCAGCCATATATTAAGATCCACCAAATGGTTAGGGGTTGCATTAGCCTTCTGGTCAGGTCTGTACTGATGTGGTGAGCTCAGGTTCGTTTCCTGAGACCCTTCAAGCAAGTCAGTCCCCATCTGCCCAGTGTAGACTGACTCTGAAGTTTTGGAGGGGAAAAGCTCTGTTTTGTATTCCCTGACTATGAGCCAGCCACTTGGCGTGACTTGGGGATGGATTGGGACTGACAAACTGAGATGGAAAGATGCCTTTTGCCATTGATTTCTGTGGCCTGGGGTAGGATGGTGTTACTCAACTCAGTCCACAAATCCCAGAGCTCATCTGCCTAGAATAGAACCAAATAAACAAATTAATTCAAAGCAAATCTGCCTCCCTGCACTGTGACACACACTGGAATGCTTTGCCAACAGGATCTCAGTAGGATGGCTTTTCCTCAAGTGTTGCAAGCCATGGAGTAATGTTTCTCCTCCGTTTTTCCTTTGTGAAGTTGGCACTGCTCCTTGCAGTAAGCACATAGAATCCACTTTTCTTTGTAACTGAAATGCTAATGATGATTTTATTTAAAGCCCCTCACATGTTGGGGTTTGGTTTTTTATTTTTTTTACAAAATATGATGATCCTGGAAATGGCATGAGTTGTCCCTAATGCCAAGGGGGAGATTTCTTCAGGCAGGCAAAGAGCAGCACCCAGCCAAGCCCTGCTACCTGCATGTAGCATGCTCCCTTCCTCAAGGGTAGTAATGATGTATTTTCAAGCATAAGAGCTGATGTTTCCCTGTCTTATTTCACCAGTCACCTTCACCCAGTGAGTCTTCAGAACCAAGAGCTGAAGCTGCCCTCAAGTGACAAGCACTAGGACAGTGAGCGCTGCTGGGCTGGGGAACTCTCACTTCTCACATTCACCCATAGGGCTATACTTGGGGTCTTTCACCAAAGATCAGAGGATAAATATGCCTGATCTTCCAGGGCTTGGTAGCTCTTACCTACCCTCTCTAGAGCTCCATACGGCTTTTCCTTTGTCACTAACAAAACCAGCAGTAGCACACCAGGTAACAAAGCAGTAGGTAAATAAGCACCAGAAGTTCCTTCACTGGCAGCAGGGCTGAATTAGTAGCTCAGAAATGTGTGTGGAGGTCATGCCTGGCTCTTATGGCTGTCAGGGGTAGGTGGTACTCTGCAGAATCTCAGGAGAGCTTTCTGAAAAAGGCTGGTAGGGACTGAGGTAGGGCTGAAATAAAGTTCACTTACCTGCAATTATTCTGGTTAGCCTTGCTGATTACTGAAAAACAAAAATACTGTTTGCTGTCCTTATCTCAGTTTAGATCTTGATTTTAACAAGACAACAAATATTTTTATCAGACTTGCTCTGTCTCCATCCCTGAATGACCTGTAGCCAGACTCCACTCCAAACAGTGCAAAAACCTTCAGCCTGCAAAGCTGGGTGTCTGCCCAGCAGCATGGGTTACCTGTGCTGCTTCTTCTCAGGACTCCTGTTCATGCCTCCTCCCAGCAGCTCAGCCCTCAATTTCGAGGTTTTCCTGCATTAAAAGCAATTAGGTAATGAGTATCTGGACCAGGGACTTCTGTCTCTGGGGTAAAACCATCCATTCTTGGATTCCTACAGCTCAAGGCCAGAAATTATCAATAGATCAATAGATAAGCTAAAAATGCCTCCAGGACAGCACAGATTATGCATCTATCTTTAGTTATATTTGCTCTGTTCCAGTGATAACTCATTTCCCAGCAGCACACTTTTCTCTCCTGATGCAATGGTATTGGGAGTTGGGAAATCCACTACTGGGTTATTTTTTTCAGAAGGAAAAGAGCTATACTGCTGTATGTGGGCGTGATTTCTAGTAGGGATTTCTAGTAGGGAATAATTTGGCTTTGGTTTGCAGATGTTGTTGTTTCATGGTTTGCCTTTCTTTGTTAGATTACAAGGCTCTTTACACCTGGTGTTTTGTTCCTGTGGAGAAACCTATGCCCTGTAATTAGAGCACCTCTTCATCTTCTATTTGCTAAATTGAAGAGATTGAATACTTTAGGTTTCTTACAGAAAGGCATTTTCACTAGCCCTCAAATTATTTTTTTCATGTTTTTCCCATATCCTCTCCAGTTTTTCAACATCCCTTAGAAGATGTGACATGCTTCACATCAGAGCTAGATGTGATATTTTAGCATATATACACCCTGCTGTGATGAGGATGTGTAGGGAGGCAAAAATACCTCCTTGTTCCTGCAGTGTTTCACTGCCCTGATGTCAGGGCATTGAACTGACAGTTCATCTTTAATTGATTGTCATTACCCCTGAAATCTTTTCAGAATTGCTGTTTTACAGGATCATCTCCTTCAATCTGCAGCTGCTGCCTGCATTCCTTCTTCCTAGAAGCGTAATTCTGTGTTTGGCTCTATTAAAATCCCATATTGCTTGGATGGATTTGCCCTCTGCAGTGATCCAAACTGTTCTGTGTGATTGCTCTGTTCTCATCACGATACACCACATTGCAAATTTTTGTGTCAGCAGCACACATTATCAATGTCGATCATATGTTTATTTCAAAATAAAAATATTTATTTCCAGATGAAATCCTTGAATCGTGCCAGGCCTCGTGCTGATCACCCTGGAACCCATCTAATTCCCTCTCCAGTGACAACTGCTTCTTGTGTTCTGTCACACAGCCAGTTTGTTATTCATTTCACATGTGTCTGATTGACATCATACTGCCCTGTTTATTTTTTTATCAGAATAACTTGGGCTCTCAGCCTCTTGGTGCGCATGTATGTAATTCTATCAAATTATGAAAGCAGACTCCTTTGACAAGAGTCTTTCTCCATAGACCCCATTGACTTCACCACACTTCTATATTCCTTTCCTTTAGTTCCCAATTAATTGACCTGTGCGTCATCTTTTCCATTCTGTTGTTCAGGGCTGATTTCAGGCTTTTTGGCTGACAGTTACCTTGTGTATTGTGCTTGACCTGTTTGAATACCAGCACAGCATTTCCATCTCCCCAACTCTTACCATTATTCGAAGCTATCCAAGCCAGGAATGTCAGTGAGCCAGAGCTGCTGTCAGCCAACTCTCATTGGATCATCCAGTCCTGTTGGGTTTAGAAATCTGTGTTCCATGTAGACACTGTAACACCTCCGCTGTGCCAGCAAAGATGGTAAAAACCATAACAAGGGATGGACCTCTTTGGGCACTTTGGTGGAACAGAGCTAGCCTCTCTGCCCCAGCCAGTCAGTCAGAGATGGAGGTGTTGGATAGGGTATGCAGAAGATCTGTCAATGCTTAAGTTTGGTTGCAGAGTAATCCAAGGCAGGAACTTCCAAAGAAACTCAAGGGGCATATGGGCAGCCAACTTGTTTTGGCCCCTGGTGTACTAAAGCCTTTTTCCTCGCAGGTGGTGCAGGTGAGAGTGAGGGAGACGTTTGCTGGTAAACACAGAGCGCTCTTTTGGAGGTTTAGTGCTGTCGGTCAGTAAAAGGGAATGGGAGCAAGTGCAGTAGAGCAAGATGTGCCGTTTTCCTGGTTTAATGCAAAGAGCTCTGACTAACAGTCTATATGGCTTTATAAAAGAATGTAAGTATGATCTTGTGGGCTGGATGGCTTCTTCATGCTTAGTCCCTAGAAAACACCAAAAGCCATAAATACAGTTACTGCAGAAAGTTGTAACTCCACTTACAGGCTTGAGTTCTTGGTCATTCTCTCTTGTTTGAGACTCCCATGGGCAAAGTTTTGTTTATGTGCTTGGTCTGGCTTCTCTTCTGACTGCCTCGCTGGTTTTTAAGTGCTCATTTGGTGATGGGAAGGCTCCCACCATAAGAACAAGTGTATTTGGAGCTGCTTGTGTTTTCTGGGGGAGAGATGTGGTGGGGCAAAGAGCAGCCTCTGAGTGTGATGGGCAGGCAGAAGTTCGTCAAGTCAGCTGGGGTGTCCCTGTGGTGGGACAGGCTGGTGTGATGGTATGGGGAGGGTATCTTGGTGAGTACTATGCCCTTCCAGGCTCAGGGCATAGGGCATAGTCCTTAGAGTGAAAGGGCGCCATCATAATGACTGAAAGCAGGTGGGGAGTGGGACCCTGCTCGGGTAGGCAGAGCTCTGAGTCTGGGTGGTGGCTCAGGCAGCTCAGCAGTCAATGTTGCCACAAGGTATCCTGGTGGACAGGCACTGTGGGTCTGCATAGTTACTCGTGAGGAGTATTGGTTCATTTTTTCTCTTCCACAGGAATCAGAGGAGAATTGGCTCTCCTGTCTCCTCCCAGCACATAGGGCCATCACGGACTGTCCGGCGCTACCCAGCCAGCAATGGCCATCTCACCTCTAATTCACTCCCCAGTGGGAACGGACATGAGCAGAGCAGCTCTGGCCCACACGCAGTTTCCCAGGAGCACACCTTGTCTGCAAGGGGTAAGGCTTCCAGGGCTGCCACTCTTTTAGGGAAGGGCAGTGGTGTGGCTAGGGATCCCCAAGAAACCCTGGACTCCCAGGACTGTGCTGCTGGGTGGGATGGAAAGGGAAGGTCAGCATGGGCATTGCTGGGCTTGGCAAAGAAATAGACCCTACTGAAGGAGGACAGATTAGGGGAGCAAAGTGCTGACAGCAGAGGAGAGGAGCCAGTGGGATGTGACAAATGCCTCCCAGAGGTACTGAACATCATCCCAGCATGCTGCCCTGAAGGCAGATTGCCTCAGTCTGTAGGAACAGTGTCTCTCAGCTTCCTCCTCTGTCTGAGCAGCCCTTGAGGTCAGATTGTGCAACCAGTGACTAGTTCTTCCCTTTGGCTGCCCCCTTGGTCCCTTCTGACATGAGCAGGGATTCAGGCTGCTGGGACGTGCAATTGCTGAGCCTCAGTGCCTCTGCAGCTAGGACAGATGCAAGTTGTCTTCTGCAGCTTGTCTCTCCCTGAAGCTGTGATTCCCCGAGGAGGCACAATGTGGCATCTCAGCCCTTATGAGTAGGCACATGAGCCTGATTGAATCTGTAATCTGAAAGTGGGGACTGAAATGAGGAGAGGTGGGGTTGAGCACAGCAAGGGAGGCACCCATAGAAATTACTGTCTTGGTGAGCAGGGATGGAGGGTTCTGGTTCTGAGCCAGCTGGTTCATGGTTAAACAATAATTCTGCCTGTTATCCATTTTCCACAAGCCCCTAAGAGCTCTGAGTGCAATTCTGCTGGTATCTAATGTGAGAATGGTGAAGGACCAGGAGGGGACTTCAGGCAACTGCAGGAGGTCAGGAGGCACTTGTAGGGAGACACTGGTTTTCTGATTATCTCTTTGATGGATACCAGTGTGGCTGTTTGTGTGGGAAGCCTTCCAGTGGTTTAAGGGCAGCCAGTCTCCTGGCTACTGACATGGCTGGAGACGAGTATTGTCTAAAGGAGAATACCCTTTATACTGGAGTTAGTGCATGTGTGTCCCTTCACAGGAAGTTATGCCACTCTAACTGGGCAGGCAGAGCATACTGCTTGCCATTTTTCATGTGTTGACAAACCCGTAGTGATGTTGGAGCAGAGGACAGGCTGAAGTGAGCATGGAGAGACACTGCCCTGGGGAGGGACACAGACCCCTCCTTGCTCTGGGAATGCTCTGGAGCTTGAGCTGCAAATTATTGGCCCCTGGCCCAGAGATGCTGTTTCCATTTAGCACTATCCTTTTCTTTCATAGGGGCCAACCTGACAGAGAAGATTAGGAAGATAAAAATTGTCTTCACACCCACCATCTGCAAACAGACGTGCCAGAGCGGTCGCTGCTACAACAGCTGCGAGAAAGGAGACACCACCACTCTCTATAGCCAAGGGGGGCACGACCATGATCCCAAGACTGGCTTCCGCATCTGTGAGCACCCTGAGGCCCCCATCCCACCTTCTTGCCTGTTCCCCACTCTTCTCCTTCTGCCTTTCCTTCCTCTACAGGCTGAGGCCTTGGACTGCTATAGGGATGGGAGGAGATGGCCTCTCTCAGTGCCTTGGAAGATGTCTCCTGGGGTCTTTGGGGCTTACTCCCTTGCTGTCTCTGTGGGAGGAAGACAGACCTTGCCTCACTGCTGTCTTTCCTGGGCAAGCAACTTCTGTTTCCATCCCACCCCAGGTAGAGGGGACGCGTGTGTTTGAGTCAGGCATGTAGCCAAGCCTCGCCACCCCCTCCTTCTCAGAGCCAGCTCACTGCTTTCATTGGCATCCAGTCTTGGGGCTGACTTTCATCACCTAATTTCCTCCTGTTCTCTCCTTTCACTCACGTGGCAGCCAGGAGAGCTGGCTGCAGGTTGCAAGCTGTTCCTATGAACGGGGCTGCTGAAACCTCTGCTCGCCTTTCAGAGCTGCTGGGATTGCTCCTCAGGTCACTGGGATACCCAGCTGTGGTTTGCGCACATCCTCTTGGAGTCAGTTGGTGGAAGCAGCCCTCAGGACTTGGTGGGACTCATCCTCTGAAAGCCTCTGTGACTCAAATTTCTCTAACACTGAGAGAGTGCAAAGTCTGGCTGTTGTGGACACCAATTGCGTTCATGGGAATTTCTGCCTAGATCCCAGTCCTAAGATGTGTCTCTTCCCCCACACACTGGTTGCTGGGCTTGAGCAGATTAACTTGGAGCAGGGTGGGAGCTCATGCCCTGGGATAAACCTGACAAGTCATCCAGGGATGTGCAGCAGCATCATCTTATCTCACACTAAGATGAGTCAGGATGATCTGTCAGGGAATCCTGTGCCTTGCCCAAGTGTTGCTTACACTGAGAGATGCTCTGGGTTACTCCAAGGAGCTGATAAGGCCAGAAAAGATGTGACTTGTTTCATCTGTGGATGCTTTTGCTGAGCCTGTGCAGATGAATTGCTTCTGATTCTTTTGTCCCACTCCACACTTCTCCCACTTGAGCTGTTGGCAGGACCAGGGCTGGCTGGGAGGCAGGCTCTGAGGATGTGGCTCTCTGCCCGTTCTCTCCTGCCTCTCCCATCCCCACTGAGTTCCCTTCTGGGCTGAGATTAAAGACCCTGCCAAATGGGGAGGGGGCGATGCAGAAGAGAAGCAATTGTGCTGACTTGGCTGCATGTAGCTGCTGTAGCTCCTGCCCTGCTCCGAGGGATCCTGCTGTGCCAGTGGCACCACCTTGGCCCTGGGGGACTTGCCTGCATGGGTGTCCCAGGCTGGCCATGGCCCCAGAGCCTACGGGAGGGCTTATCATCTTCAACCCATGACTCCGGTCCTGAGCAGAGCTTGGAGAAGATAGTGCTACTTCCAGGCTGCAAGTGCTGTCCCCAGCTTGGTGGGGTTCTTGGGCACCATGGGGCTAGTGCTGGCCCAGATCCAGCTGCCTGTCCTTCCCCAGACACCCCTTGGCTAGAGGCAGTATCTCATTTTCTCTGCTAAGCAGACATCTCTTTGCCTTGCAGATTTCTGCCAGATCCCCTGCCTGAATGGAGGGCGCTGTGTGGGTCGGGACGAGTGTTGGTGTCCCTCCAACTCCACGGGGAAGTTTTGCCACCTTCCAGCTCCCTCTCTGGAAAAGAAGCAGGGAGGGAGAGCCCCAAAGACCCTGGCCAGCAGCTCCATGAAGCACTCCACCTACACCCTGCCCTTGTCCAACCAGCTTGGTGAGTGTGGCTGACGGCTCCAGACCCTGCATTTTCCTACTACTTGAGTGCTCCTCAGATCTTCATTAACAGGCCTGAGGAGGCCACTAACCTTATACTTGCCTTTTCAAACCAGGTTGTTAGAAAAGTGGTTCCTGTAGTTTCTGAAGGGCTCAGGTTGCCTGGGGAAACTTTTTGGTGTGTTTGTGCTGGTTGTGGGTCAGAGAAGTATTTTCTCTTAGATGCAATCTTCCTCTAGATTTTCTGGTGGGGTCAATCTACCTCTCCTCCCTTGTGACTTTGTTGATGACAAGATGCTCTTCAGGTGCCAAATTGTTGCCAGATTGTCACAACTGTGGTATAAACTCATCTTCTAGCTTCCCTAAACCCTTCCCTGGTGAATGTCCACATCAACCACCCTCCAGAAGCTACTGTGCAGATTCACCAGGTGGCCAGGGTTCGGGGTGACGCAGACGTGTCGGAGGAGAACAGTGTGGAAGCGGTCCTGGTGCCTCAGCTGGCTGCTGTGCCCTGGTACACCTATGCCCATGGGAACGGTAACAGCATTGCCACAGAGAACAGCCAGCAGCAACAGAGAGCCCCGGGGCTGCTGGGGAGGTGCTTTCGGGAGGCTGTCCATGGGCAGGTAAGGGGTCAAGTGTTGGAGCATGTGTAGATATGTTTCTTGTTCTAGAGTACGGGTATGTTGTCTTACGGGGCAGAGAGGGTGGCCTTTCATTGTGTGAACCTGCTCAGAATCAGCGTGGGCATCACCCAGGAGCGGTGGGCAGAGGCAGCAGTGTGTTAGTACTTGGGAAGAAAATTCCTCACTTTGGCCCAACAGGGAGACCTCACTGCCTTGCTCTGACCAGGCTGTGCCCTGGGGCAGCACAGCCCAGACTTGATGGCTTTCACATACAGTCTCGTTTAAAAAGGGTGCCCTATTTATAGCAACATTTACAGCCACACTCTGCGATTATTGTAGGAAACGTATAAAACATAGGAAAATTCCTTTCCCTCTCAGACGATAAATGAAAGTCTGATTTCCATGGAACGACGCCTTCCTGGGCAGCTCAGTCGGGGCTTGGGAAGCAAATGCACATGAGGGGCTTTCTCACCCCTGTCCCACAGTCACTGTAATTTCTTATTTTGTCTTTCCCCATATGTTTTTCTTGCGTCACTGGAAAAGCATTGGAGGTTTTTGGCACCCACAGGAACACCTGTGAGCTCCCCCAGAGCAACTCGCACTCAGTGAGACCCCCAGGCTGGGCAGCCAGGGACTCGGCCCACACCTCGCTGCTCCCCAGCCCTTTATGGGGCACTGCTTCTGCTTCCCATCCTGTCTTTCATTCGCTCCCATCCAAATGATTTCTGGTGGGGTATATTCTCAGACATTCCTAGGGCAAAAATAAATGAGATCAGACCATGGGGTTGGAAAAGCCCAGCTCCTCCATGGGGAAACAGCAGCTTTCTGACCCTGGGAACAGATGATGATGCATGGAGATGCTCATGGATGCCCAGAGAGGCTGCGGGAGATCCTCTGGGTGGGGCAGAGGGTACCCTTGTGCTTGCACCTCATCCAGCTGGGGTGATGCTGTGCCCGGGAGAGGTCGAGGAGCCTGGCGAGGAGTGCTTGCCTCTCCCCACTCAGCTGCAGCTGAGCCGATCGGTATGCGAGTGTGCTGGGCAAGCGGCCATGCGTGCCTGGACGGGGGCCAGCTCCGGCCTGTGGGCCGTGGCGGCTCCACTCTAATGGGGAAGCCTGTAATCCAGAGGTCCTTGCTGGTGGGGAGAGGGGGGAGAAGGAGAGACTCATTAGGCAGAGGAAGGTGCCTGACTGCAAGCTCCCTGCTGGGCTGGAGTGGTGCACCCATTTTGCTGGCTAATCAGCCAGGCATGGGCTGATCCCAGGGCTTTGCTGGGTGATATCATCATCATGTTCTCTTTGGTGTCCCCTTCACCTCTGAGGGGTGCAGTTGAGGGACTCTCGTGCTTTTCTGTCTACACAACTGTTTACTGTCTAAACCGCATCCCTAGTCCCACTGTGTCCCAGCGGGGAGCTGTGCCGGGAGGGCCGTGCCAAACCGTTGTCCCCCATGCTGGCTCTGCCACTGCCACACCAGGCAGCCACAGTGGATGGGTGTGTGTCCCCTCCCCATCTCACAGGTGTCTGATCCTCTGGTCCTCTCTCTGCAGTGCACCAACCCCCTGCCAGGGCTGACAAAGCTGGAGGACTGCTGTGGCAGCGTGGGGCTCTTTTGGGGTATGGACCGGTGCCTGGCCTGCCCTCCCCGGCCAGGTGAGTATTGCCGCTGCCTGGATGGCATGACGGACAACCTGCACCCTTGGCAAACAAAAATGGTCAGGCTGCCTCACTCAGCCAAGGAGGCATGGAGCAGCCCCAGGTCCCCTGCTGTATTGCTTTCCTTTGCCCAAGGCCCTTGGGGATGGGCGGTAGGTCCGAGGCAGTGTGCAGGGCTGTGCCGGCTGCTGCCCCAGCCCGCACACCAGGGAGCAGCACTGGTTTGGGTGCTGGCCCCAGGCTCAGTGCTTTCTCCTTAAACTGCCCCTGCAAAACCCCAGTGCAGCTGGCAGTTCCTGCTGTGCTAGCCTCAATCAGAGGAAGAAAAGGGAAAAGAGCGGCCGTGGTTTTAGGAGGTGTAGTCCTAGATCAGCGGAGGAGGCTGCAGACTCGGCCCTATAGAGTTACGGGCTTGCTCTGGGCCCAACACGGGCTTGGCAGGGCCTCTGGAAATAACACTACATCAAACAATTGGCAGGAGTGCACCCGGGGTCCGTTCCAGGGGCACGGGCGTCCAGCTCCATTTCTGCTGTGCTTGGGAGCCGGCTGGACTGATCTAGTGAGAGATGGGGATTCCTCTGCTGCTTCGCTCAGGGTGCTCCATGATGGGCATGGCCCCTCGTGCTGTGGCCTCATCCTGTGTGGTGGTGGAGAGGCCATGCTGAAGGACTCCTGGCTGGGAGGAGGCAGCCCCACAGGCACAGTGGCTCCAGCAGCCACTGATAACCAGGTCTGGTGCAGGGCGAGGTGCACATGTCCAGTGCAATGCAGGCATGGAGCTGCTCACATCTCCCCTGCCTGCCTGCCTGTGCCCTTTCATCACTGCCTGGATGCTCATTCACATGCCTTCACTGGATTGAAGGACAAAAGTAAACAGATTCCATGGTCCAGGAGGCTGACCCCTGAGGAGAATGGAGGTGCCCAAAATGTCAGGTTTTGTGCAGGCAAGTGTGGTGTTAGTGCCATCTAGCTCTGCCCACAGGATGTCCCGCTTGGCTTGCACACATGCTCCCAAGAGCTGTTTGTGTCTCGTCTTCCTTCAGTTTGGTTCCTCCTTGGCCAGGGATAGGGCTGACTGGAGCCAAATTCCTCACAATCACAGACAAGGTTGTCAGCATGCTGGAACCCAGTGTAGATCTGGGGAGCACTGATTGCTGTCATCCTCCCACTCTGCATGGCTCTGCTGTGGCCCCAGGCCATGCTGCTGCTTGCCTGCCCGCCTTTGTGTGCCAGCCCCAAGGGAGCCCTGGGCACATGCGGTATGGGGGTGACCATAGGATCTCCAGGTTCAGCACAAAGAAGGAAATGCCCCCCACAAGCCCCAGCCCCCTCCTCTTTGTGCCAGTCCTTTGCATCCCCAGTCATGGCTTTCTCCTCCCCATCCCACTGCAGTCTCCCCGTTTCTCACGCTGTCTCTCTGTGATTCCCCCATTAGGAATTAGGGCGACCACTTAACACTTCAGTTAGGCTGCAAATGGCTGCAAAAACTCTGCACCTCCTTTCAGTTTTTCTGTGCCAGGATGCTGGGTATCACTCAGCGGCCAGAGCTGCAGCAGTGATTTGCTCTGCTGGACTTAGATCTTCAGGCTTCAAAATGTTTCTCTAATCACAGGCTTCCAAGACATGAAAACAGGCACGAAATCTCTCCGTGTGCTCCTTGCAGTCAGCCAGCCAGTAGAGCACATGCACTTACAAAATGCCTCCTAGCTGCCAGTGTGTTCCACCTCCATAGCTCAGCACGTGCCCTGTGTCCCAGCAGCAGCTGAAACTCAAGGGAGGTTGTCACTTCTGGTCTTCATTGAGTGGACAGATGCTTGTCTGGCTTTTTTTCAGATTAATTCCATGGGTATATGAAAAGTGATCCTTGTGGGTTTTCCTTCTTCCTCTGCCACAAGAAATTTGGGGTAGTTGAAGGGGCCGTTTTCATCCTCTTTAATTATGTGCAAGTATCTTCCTCCTTTGGCTACCATTGACTGCCCTGTAACCAGCCCCACATGCAGGAGGCCACACAGTTCAGGTGAAGGGAGCTGTAAGGTGGCTCTCAATGGAAGCAGCCTTAGAGAGCCTGGCTGTTCTGGAGTGAGAAGCCCAGGTGGCTGGCATGCTTTTCTTCACATATGAGAGATCTCACCTGAGGATGGAGCCAGGGAAACAGTCCTTTCTCCATGATCTTACTGCTCTAATGGAGCCACCAAGCACTGTGACCTCTCATTGCCCTGTGCCTCCTCTGCCAAGACTCCCAGGTCCATGCCTGTCCAGTGTGAAGGCGTCACTCTGCATTGTTCCTGCCTGCAGACCACATCCCTTCTGTCTCCTGGCCTTACTGGCCCATGTTGTGCTCACTCAAAGTCACTGGGCTGTAGTTCAGTGACCTGGTGTCTCGTGCACAGTGATAACATGTCCAGTGGATGTTTCCAGCTTTCTTCTTGGCACTGGAGTCTTCAGAGAGAACTTCTCCTTGCACTTGTGTGTCCCAGGGACACGTGCACGAGACCAGACTTGACAGCACTGGGAATTTAATTCCAGCAACTAGAGACAGAAATGGCAGAAGCTAGTTCAGTGTAAACACTTACAAATGTACAGAAATGCAGCCAGGCAAGAGCTAGACAAATGGAGAACTTGTTTGGATTGACTGTCTGCCCGAGACACTGATTGTTAGTAGAGTCTGGATACGTCCGGATGTCTCCCTCGACTGCAGCTTTCATGTTTGGTACATGTTTGTGTGCGGAAAGACATCAGAGAAGAAGAAGAATTGCAGGCAGGCATCTGACTGAGTGAACCTGCCATGACCAATACTTGCTATTTTTTGTGTTTTGCCCAGCATCAGAAAAGCCAAGGCACTTGAATGCTTTGCCTCCTAAGGAGACCATGTTAAAAGCTGAGTTCAGAATTAAGGTAGGGGTGGTTACATTCATCTCAGAGGCTTCCTTAGGCTCTGCTCAGGGTTTTGACTGTCTGGTTTGCTCCTGGGTTGGTGTGTATTATTAGGCCCCTTCAGAGAAGTGGACACAGTGATGGGGATTCAAGCAGGCTGTAGTAGAAGTTGCTGGGAGTTTGGTTTTGCTCATGTAAGTGAGAGCTGAAGATGGGACCCCCAGGATATGTCAGAGACAGCCCTGGGATAAGGGGGAGAGCCAAGAGCTTGCTCTGTGTGCTGTTGGGTCACAGGCTTTCACCCGACCCATGAAAGAAAGAGATGAGCCAGACACAGGGCCCTGGAGAGCAACAGGACACCTGCATGCTGTTGTGCATCTGTAGTCCTTCAGCTCCAGCTAGAGATGACTGGATGAAATGTGCTGCCCTGCGAGATACGATAAATCAGATGGAGACATCCAATGACCCTCCTGGGTTTTTAGTACTTGGAGGAGGCAGTGGAGCATACATTGAGAGGCTAGAACAGAGAGGTAGCAGCATATGGGAGCTGGAAGGTAAAACGTGGAGAAGACTGATAGTGGGAAAAGGGAATTAGAGGCTGACAAAGCAGCTGAAGCAGAGATTCAGGGTATTTGAGCAGTGCTGGTGAGGAAGGTGCTATGAAGCAACGTCCCATCCCCTAGTAAGCTCAGGATGTGGAGTTAGTAGCAGGCACACTGCTGGGCAGAGCTACTCCTGCTTACCTGCCAGACCATATATTGTTTTGGGGTATACAGTGGTCTCTGGAGAAGAACATACTGGAACAAGGTCAGGTGATGGACCGTGGAAACTAAAACGAACAAGACCCAAGCTGCATGTTGACACAGACCCCAGGACGGGTGTGGATTTGAACACGAGTTTCCCTGAAGCCTTGGCCCCCCTCAGGCACATGGGGATAAAGGAGACTGGTAGTAGAGAGTTCTGCCCAGAGGGGGTCATAGCCCTGCTCTTCCACCTCCTTCCTGTCCCTGAGACCACACACCTCTGTGACCAGCAGTGTTCCAGGAGAAAACCATACTGTCTATGGTACTGCCCAGGAACTACAAGTCTCACCTTGCTGTCTGTTTGAGGGACTTCCTGGGTGCAGCAGTAAACCTCTGTCTTCCAGGTCCTTTTTTTTCAGTGCCCTCTGTCTCTTCAGGCTGCAGACAGCCTGAGTGTAGGCTGGGCTGCGCACCCACTGCTTGTGCTCCCTGCAGATATTCCTGGGCTGCTTTTTCTCCTCATGCCTCTGGGTTTTAACTGCATTAAGAAACAAGTCTTTGAAGGCTATTGTTTTGTTTTTATTCCCACTCCCCATGTTTTTTCAAGTTTTTTGTCCTAGAGAAAAGTCTGAATTTCACTGGAAAGTTGGATCTTGTAATGTCTGGCTTGGCATCCGCAGCACTCCCCAAACAGACCTCCCACTGTGAGAGGGGTGGCAGCTCACCCATGAAGCCGTCGTCATCAGAAACGCCGAGCAGCTCCACAAGCCACACGCTACTCTGTGCTGTGCCTGCAGGCATTGAAACAGCTATAGGAAGCCCCTTGAAAAATCAACCCCCCGGTCTGCTCATGTTGCAGTCAGAGTGGGGAGCATACAGGGAAAAAAAAAACCCAAACCTGAAAATACAGGAAGGAGGCTACAGAGGGGGCTGGTTCTGCCACTGCTACACCATGTGCTGCAGGGAGTCTGTCCAGGACAGTAAAGAAGGCCTGGATGTGGGGAAAGAAGCTGAAACCTCTGCAAGGTTGTGACAGTACCACAGAGAACAATTCTTAACCTGAGGAAGTGCAGCATTTTCAGGACTGCTGTGTTCTGCAGAGTGCTTGCTTTGCCCATCATTCATATGCAGCATCATGGTCTTAGCACACAGCAGCAGTGTTGCAATAGTGGGGTTTTTTAGGTATGGAGGTATCTTGTCCCAGCTGGAAGCTACTGTGGGAGCAGAATGAGGTTCTCTTTGTTGGAACAACTTCAAAAGCCGATAGTAATTCCCAGAGTCTTTTTCCTTCAAGCATCTTTTTCACCTTAAAGATCTTTATTGACCATGAGTAGAGCAGAGGGCTTAGTTTTGTATCGCACATCAACACTGGTGCATGCCCTCCCCACCCCTGCTTGCTGTAGCATTTGTTGAGGCATTGGAGAAAGTCTTGTTGGAGCCTGCCTACCACAGACCACCCAGAGTAGAGAGGAGCAGTCATGACAGATCTGGACTGAAGGATTTGTGTCCTTTCCCTCTTGTCCGTTCTGCCTGGGGAACTCAGCTTATCCCCACAGCCACAGCCCTGCCTACTTCTTGGTCTGGCATCTCCAATCCATCTTCTCTCTGGAGGCTGCTGTGGGGTTGAAAGAAATGGGCTAGCTTTCAGCAGCCAAGCATTTCCTCACCTCTCATCTGACCTCAGGCTTGCCTCTTCCCCTTTTAACAGAGTGATATCAGCTGGCCTAATGCAATGTATTATCTCACCCTACAAACCTCATCTCACTCAGGCCCTTTTAGCTACCACCACTAGAAGTGGTTTCTTTCCACTTCATCATCAGCCTGAGCTTCTTCATCCCACCTTCAGACAGTGTTTGGGGAGCCAGGGCCCTAGGATAAAGCTTCTTCTCCTGGTAAGTGATGGAAAACTAGCCTAGCTGCTTAAAGATCACCTTGCTAGGCTGCAAAATCCCTCGGCCCGATTTCCATGTGTTCACTTCCCTTCTTATCCTACTCTGCTTGAGTATTATTCTAGCTGGGGACAAAGGTGCTGGTGGGAGTCCTGGGCTGTTGGCTGCTTTGCGCTCACCTCCTTTGTGGATCTGTGAGCTTTATGCATATATGCTCCCATGTGTGAGCCTGGCCCCTCTGGAGATGCCTGGTGCCTGCAGAGCTTGCAGAAAGCAGCGCCAGGCAGTGGGATGAGGCAGAGCTGGAGGGAGCAATGAGGAGAACTGAGGGGGAGTCCTGGTGTACAGGTAGCTGGTGAGCACATTGCTTCGGCACAGTGCCCACAAGGCTGAGGAGGTGAGGCCCTGAAATCACACCCTTGATGCAGGAGCCAGAGCTCCTGCCCTCAGCAAGCCTGAAATCCTTCTGCCTGACAGATGCAGCTCAGCTGCTCCATCTCCATCCTCAGGCTCTGAGAGAACCCCTTTCCCGGAGAGAGTGTAGACAGACAGAGGAGGCTGGGACACCTCTGGCTGTGGATGCTGACAGATTTCTGCCTTCTCTGATCATCAGATTGGCTTTTTCCCTTTGCTGGGTTCCAGAGGAGTAGCCTCCAAAGCCAGTCTCCCACTGCTACCAGCTGCATGGGAGAGGGGTGGATGCTGATCCCCTTTGCAGGAAATTCAGGTGTCCGAGGATGGTTTTTCAGGGGGTTTTGGCCATCTCTGCTGTAGTTTGGCAACATTAGAGCTCGTGGAAGGAAATGGTCCTCTGCTCGAGTAACCAAGTACAAAGCTGAGAATTAATAGCTTACATCCTCTTGCAGACACATGCTGTCTTCCCTTGCGGCCAGGTCCTGGCAGAAAGAGAGCAGCCTCCATCCAGTACTTCAGAAACTGTCTTGGTTCCCCTTGGTACAGAGAGATCTGCTCACATTACATTACAGTTATTCTTTCCAGGGAACACAAGTTTCTTTGCAAAATTAAGATGTTTGTCTGCAGCCTCACAAGTGATTTGCTGCAGTAATGAACTACAGGTTTCTGCAGACTGGAGTCATACAACTCCTGAGGTGGCACAAGACCTGCATGCTCACTCCCCATCACTGGTATTTTCTGCCTTGCCCTCTCCCCAGCATCATCTGGCAGAGGGATGCTGGAGGATCTGTTTCCCTGAAAAGGCTTTTCAGAGGGAGCGGGGCTCTGACACATGTCATCACTGTTTGATCTCTGGCATGCTTGGCTCCCCGTTGGAGGGCTCACACATAACGATGCTGCTTCATTTGAGCGTCTGTTATCACATCATGCTGAGGCTGACAGATGCTTCCAAGCACAGTTAATGCCTGACAGCAGCCCCAAGCCCACAGGCTGCTTTGTAGGAAGAACTGGAGTCCCACTGGCGTGCTGAGCCTGGAGCCCATGAGGCAGAGTTTATTTTTCCCTTCCTGGAATACTGGAAATATACCCATTGATTCCCAGTATCACTAGCAACCCCCTCACCCCTAACGTGCAGGTATTTGTAAGCACTTCCTGCTTGCAATTCATGACTGACCTGTTGAAGGGGGCGAATAGATTTTTGTCTTAGTCATTTGTCCAGCCCCTGAGGATCTCTCTGCACCCGAAGAACCTTGTATCTTCATTTAATATACCTGAGGAAACCAGGCTTTCTATTCCCCTTCCTCGTACACGCTACTGAATGACTTGTTTTCCCAAGCGCCTTTATCTTAGGAATATCCTAGAAATATCCTGACTCAAGAAGTGTTCTAGAATGGCTTTATAAACAGTACTGTAGAGTCAAAATGTCCAGTACAGAGTAATGGACACACCTGTTCTCTGCCCCCAGCACGTTGTTTGTGTTCTTAACCTTTGCAGGCTCTTTCCAACCATCTCCTCCCACAAGGATGGTCTCAATTTGTCGCTAGTTCTCAAAAGCTGCAATGTGTTAGAAATCTGCCAGATCCTCGATATGGCTATTGCTGTGGAGGGCTTTCCACATATGACACCAGGGCGTAAGCTACTGATGCCAGGCAGGAGGAATTCAAGTGGTGGGAATACGGCTGGACAGTCACTTAGCTGTTACAAGCACTTCTTGTTTCCAAGCATACAGTCCAGAAAATTAAAAAGAAACCCCACCCTAGGAAAATCCCATCCTTAAGCAAAGCATCCTTCTTCCTACCCCACCCTGTGCTTACTCACTTCCCAACCCGTCACCTTCTGGATTCCCTTTCTCTTGTTCCAAAATATGGTGCCTAAATTTGACCTCCTTGGAATTTATGGGCCATATTTTACTTGCCCTTAAAATATTTGGAGAGATTTAATTGTGCGGGTTATAGGCCATTTTGAAACCCACAAAACCATTTTAAGCAGCAATTTGAAATTCTCTTTGATGAGAGTGATCAGGGCAGGAAGTCACATGCAGTAAAAGGGGAAAATGTAATAAAAAGGCCCTGGGCTGTTATTTCATCATCTTGTCAAGGACCTCTGTTACTCCTTTCACTCTCGTTTCCCTTGTCATGTGCCACCTGGCTATCCAAGCTAGCCTGGGAGGAGCTGAGGTGACACAGTGATACATATGAAGCACAGACAGCACCTCTGGGTCACCATGTTGGCACCTGCCAAGCAGCAGAAGACGCTGCTTGGGAAATGTGGCTGCTCCCACCTTTCCCTCTGCCCTGGGAGTCACCAGAGGCCCATCCAAGGCAGACCTAGGGATTCTTTCCCCTCTGCAAGGAGGGCAGAGAGAAGGTAGGACACTGGCAGCTGGCTCTACTGCTGATGTCCCACACTGCTTGTTTTCTTCCCAGCACACCTTGTGATTGAGAATGGGCAGGTGGAGTGTCCCCAGGGATACAAGAGGCTGAACCGAAGTCACTGCCAAGGTAAGGATGCTACTTTCATATCTCTCTCTCCTTCCCACATCCACTGTCAGAGTTGTAATTACCCACACAAGTAAAATACAATTATCTAACTCCCTGGTACAGATCTGCAAAGAATGTGACTTATAAAAATCTCTTGTGCTTTCATCAAGAATGAAAGAAAACTGGGTAACACTGGACTACATGACTCAACTGATACATATAGTCAGTGTGTAGTTGAGTCAGCATAAGAGAACACACCTGTTAAGTCCTACTGACCCAGCAAGGACCTGTGTTGCTGCTGTGCTAACTGTGAGTGTAAAAACACTTGTCCCATAGTCTGAAGCAACAGAAATTCTGTTGCCTGAAAACATTTGGGAAGGTTGCCAGCTTGTTCAGTTGTTCATTTACAAGTAGGAGAGTGCCATAGAAGCAATTCCTTCTGTTCTGAGCATGTCATTTGTCCCTGCTGCCAGGCTGTCCTGCCTACCCCACGGTGCTGGGGTCTATCCATTTCTCACTCCCGCGGTCCCTCAGCTCCATATGAGGAAGGCGCCATCACTCCTCTTTTCTCTCCAGTTTATGTTTATTTGGCATCTCTCGGACCCACAGTTGCTTGTGTTTTTCTGTGCTCTGAATTTTATGGTTCCCTTCTTATGATTCATGATAAGCTGAGAGGTGTCTTCTCGAAGATGCAGCAGGGAGCCTGGGCCCTGGCCATGCAAACCCAGGGCTGGCAATCCAATGACTCATCTCTTTTAGCTGGGACTTTCCACCATGCTTACTTAATTAATGATTCAGCCTCCCCACATTGTCCTGGGGGAAAACTTTAAACAACGCAAGGGCTTCTATTCTCTTTGGTGCTCAGATCTCATCCCTTATGTGGCCACAGACAGTGCTATGGGTATGAGGAGCTACCAGGAGACACTGAGTAGGAGTCAGAGGAGCAGAGCAGCTGAAGGGACTCATGTCAGCGAGCAGAGACCTTCAGTGCCTGCTCTGGATTTGCATTCCATTGCGAGTTTCAGAGGAGCAGAGGGAGATGGCAATGTGGAGTTGGCTAGGAAGATGTTTTGCACAGCAAAAACCCTGAACCAGAGGTTTCTGCCTCTGTGTGCTCCTTTGTAAGCTGGGCCAGAGAAGTACTGTTCTGCAGACACTCTTGTTACCTTGAGGTGCTTTTCCCATCTCTGCTATTGCAGTGGGACTTGTATCAGGAAGCCCAGCACCTTACTTGGGGGTCCAGAGTGAGCAGTTTGGCTGATAGACTGTGGGATAGACTACATGGGGCCTTCTCTTGCCAGCCCAGGGAGCAGGGTTGCCAAGGGCTGGATATGGGCTGATGATTCCTGAGGCCATTGGCTGTAGGAGAGAAGCTGACCTGGGAAGGAGCTGAGCTCTGGCTTTGCAGGCTGTTGTCAAAACAGATGAGTGACTGGAGGAGGGCCCCAGCAGAAGCCCACTTTCCTCTGTTTTGTATGGACAGAATGGGTTGTCTCTGGTGCATTCCAGCAGATGAATGAATGGCTCATCTCTGCAAGATCTCATTTCCTTTCCTTGCTGCATCCCATTGAGCAGGAACAAGGCTGCAGTGAGTCTTGAGTTGAGAGTGCCTGGCAGACCAAGCCAGGGAACCTCTTGGTGCTGCTGGACCATGAGGAAGAATGGCACTGAAAGGGATAATGTGGTTACTAGACATGAGGTGAAGATTGTCTTGGAGGCTTGGTGGTAGGGACATGTGTGTGCGCAGCGGTCACTGCACAGGGCACACACTGGCACCTTGGCATCTGTATATCCTTGGTATCCATATATGCTTGGTGTCTGTTGCTGACTCAGGTCACTTCTGCTCACCAACCACCAGGATAAACCAGCCTGTACCTTTCCACAACAAGCTGCCTGACTCAGCGTAGCTGTTTCTGAGGAGCACCGGCAAGCTTGTGTGGGTTGGGACGAAGCAGCTGAGACAGCATAAGGATCTTGATTTGTGGTCCCTGAGGCCACTTCTTGTGGGCTAGCCCCATCCCTGACATGCTGCAGGGGGTAGGAGTGCATGGCCCCAAGCGCGCCTGCCTGCTTCTGTTCCCTGTGGGGATTTCCAGCACGGGTGGGTCCTCTGCTGCCAGTGGAATAGAGGGGGTTGGACTGTGGCCGGGATGAGGCCCTGTTTTCAATTAAGCTTGTAAAGCTCAGACCTTGGTGCTTGTTTGTTTTGTGCTCTCATTACTCTAATTCCTTCAATCCCTTTGCTTATGTGGAGGCCAAACACTTCATCCAGTTGGTGTTTTGGAATGACACATTGCTCTGACTGTGTCAGGGAGTGACAGGGATGAGCCCTGAGGCTCCTCCAGAGAGACCAAGCCTCTTCTCTGAGTGGGGTTCCCAGTACATTTGGGGTCTGGCCATTGGTTGGTCTCATAAACTCTGGCCTGTGCTTGGTACAGAGCAGGAAACCATTACATTGTGCAGCAAAATCCTACTCTCCCTGGCCTGCTGCACATCCCTGTAGTGTTTGACTGAACATCATGGCCTGCTCTTGATGGCCACTGTGTCTCTCAACCATGTATGGGACAGGCAGTGGGGTGAATGGGGGAGTTTAAGAGCACAGGACTGGGGACGACTTCTCAGGTCATTACATCTGAACTGCTGCTGTCATAGCCAGCTGTGTGACACCTCCATTTCCACCAAGCAGTGATGCTTCAGCTCTGAGGAATAACGTAGTGCTGGGAAAGCTGCTTCTGAGCCTAGCTGCTCTCAGTTAGGCTCTTCCACTCTCTCCATTCTTCCAAGTGTCCCCGCAGCCCACCTCTGAACCCCTTCCACATTGAGACAGTCTCTAGAGGACCACTGGATGCTCTGAGAGCACCTGAAGTCTCACCAGGACCTTGTACAATGGCATTGGGACTCCCCTCTGTCTTTGGAAAGTGTTTGGCATGATGCTGCCTGGCATCATGTTGACATATCTTGGTCTTGGCAGCTTGCAGCTGTCCTGTGAGCAGTAAGTGTGCCCAGGTCCCTCTCACTGCCTGCTCCCACCTATTAGGTTGTAGTATATGCTCCTGTGTTTTGTCCCAGGGTGGTGCTGAGGTTCATCCCACTCCTGCTGCTCTGTGCTCACATCCAGCTCTTCCTGCACTGTTTGTGCCTCCTGACACAGCACATTTTGTCAGCATGCTGACTTTTATGGGACAAGCACTTTTGTGAAGATATAAAGCTACTTCAGTCCATGAGGTGGGCTTCCTCCTCACTCTCCACCATGAAAGCTGCTTTCAGTTCCCCATTGTGCACCTTTTACCAATCCTTGTCTTCTCCAGCTTAGCTCATACATTCCTATGTGGTGCTGTAGGAAAGGCTTTACTGCAGGCCAAATGGGTGAGCCTGACGTTGTTTCCCTAGGATAAGTCCAGCTCCCTTCCCAAAGTCTGCATTTGATGTGTACTGAAGCAGGGGCAGAGGAAGAGCTTGAGGCAGGACTTGAGCTTGGCACCTTCCTGCTTGCACAACCTCTTCCTAGAAGACACTACAGCAGTGAACCACAGCCTGTCTCTGTCTCTGGAGGGTATCAGTCACTGCCCTTCCTGCATGCTGGCAGAGTTTCTCAGCAAGGATTCTCTATGGATGACAGCTCCATACAAGCAGGACCAGGGATCAGGTGAAACGACAGGACTCACCAGTCCAGGCTTGCAAACAACAACCATGATGGCCATAAGAGTGACCCTGCTAGAGTGGCTCATGGTGAGGGAATCATCTGTTTTCCACGAGGACCACAAAGCAGAGCAGTCATTCATGAGCCATCCCTGCAGCTGCAGCGAGCAAGCTCTGTGCTGCAGATGTGGGACTGCTGTCTCCACGGAGGTCCTCACCATGCTGCTCGGTGCAGAGGCTGCCTCAGACACCAACCTGACTTGAGAACCCCTTGGTCCCCAACACCTGAATGGGAGACACTAGGTAAGGGGTTCAATTCACCCTCAGCTTTCTCACATCTCACCAGGCTCTCTCCTGTCCACAGATATCAATGAGTGCTTGATGAAGGGCCTGTGCAAAGATGCCGAGTGTGTGAACACCCGTGGCAGCTTCCGCTGCACCTGCAAGCCTGGCACCATGCTGGACCCATCCCGTAGCCATTGCATCTGTAAGTGTTCCAGAGAACCCCTCAGCTTGGGAAGGGACCTGAGCAGGACCCCACAGCTGAGTGGAGGCTGCAGCGTGCTTTGGTCTCTCTCAAGTGCACTTGTGTGCAGGATGGGTCCCCATGCCTTGGGCCCCCTTCATGCACTGTTCTTCTCCATGGAAATTGCTCCCACAGGAGCTGGATTTTCTTGGGGCTGGTGCTGCATGGGGCATGGCCCAATGGCTAAAGGCCAGTGGTTGTTCTGAGAAGAGAATGGGGCAGCCCTCAGGAAATGCTGGGAGTCACGGGCAGAGAAAGGCCCAAAGGGGAGAGACTGAGTGTCCCCCATTCTCTCTTTGGAGAGTGTAGAGCTTGACCTCTGGCACTGACCCTTCCACTGTGTTTCAGCGGACAAAGCGGTGTCGATGGAGCAGGGACTGTGTTACCGCTCAGCAGCTGGAGGTGTGTGCTCCTTCCCCCTCTCCCACCGCATCACCCAGCAAATCTGCTGCTGCAGCCGCGTCGGCAAGGGCTGGGGGAAGAACTGCGAGGAGTGCCCTGTGCCTGGCTCAGGTGAGACTTGCAAATGCTGGCCTATGAGATGGGTACAGCAGCCCAGAAAGCAGACCTGGATAATACTGGGAAGACAGAGAAGTCCCTGATGGGAAACCACTCTGTACCAGTGGGAGAGCACAGTCATGCCTGTGTCTGGCTTTCCTTGACAGCCCTTTTGTCTCTTGTACGTCTTCTGCTGGGATGAAAGTTGAGTGAGGATACGTTTGGCGTACCTCAGCATGGGGTAGGGTAGAAGGGAAAGCACCAAAGTTCTCAGGGCTGGAAAAAGTCTTCAGGTGGTTTGTACAGAGCATCTTGAGAGATGTGCAAAGCACTCAGCATGAAGGTACCAGGGGTTCACTTTTATCTGCTCCCTTGCTCACATTGGACCTTCCTATGGCATGATCCTTTCCTAGCAGTACTGACCCAGGGGAGGGATGTAGCTTTTGGTGTCTGGGAGTACCAGTCAGTGCCTGTTAGAAACCCACCCTGCTCTTCTGTGCAAGGCATCCACCCACTGCAGCCCAGATGTTAAATCTATAAGGATTTAACCCTTAGAAATCTCCAGAAAATTACAAGATAGCAGAAACTGCTACCTGCATTCACATACATGCCTGTCCATCTTCACTTCTTATACCTGTCCCACCATCACATCTGGGTGCAGTAAGCCAGGTGATCCCTGCACCAGCCTCTTCCTTCCAACCTCTGTCCTCTGAAGCTTTGATTTGATTTCCCCTTGCAGAAGCCTTCAAGGAGATTTGCCCAGCAGGACATGGCTACACCTACTCCAGCTCTGATATCCGCCTGTCGATGAGGAAGGCAGAGGCAGAAGAGCTGCCCCTCAGCTTGGAAGAGCAAGGAGAGAGCAGCAACTGGACATTGGACTGGGCGGCAAGGAGACAGCAACTGCAGTACAGCCTTCATGGGAGTGCACTGGAGGCATTCCCCCACCCTGGCACCTCAGCAGGAGAGGGTAGTGTGGTGTCTACTGTTTAAAGTTGCTCCATCTGGGCCCCTAGCAAGGGTGGGCAAATTTCCAGGTCCTGCCATGCCCCACGGATGGACTTATAGCTGATAAGGGCTTTCTACATCTGTATGAATATGCTAGGTGTTCTTCAGCCCTACTAATGTTCCTGGGTCATGAGACACCACATCTTCAAGCCTTTGGAGAGAAGGTTGAGTGTTTCAGGCTCCTGCGACCACATCTTTGCAGCTGGTGCTGGTGGGCCAGGCTGCCTCCTCTGGGACCTCAGGTCTGCGTGGCAGCCCTGGCACTCCTTGGACTTTTGTCCAGCCCAGCTGGACAGAAGTGTGACCAATTCCTTGTGCCAGCACCTGCAGGAGAGGAAGCTCCTGCGGTCTGCACAGTGCCAGGAGAGGAGTCCAGGTGTGTTGGCTTTGCGAACGAGTGCTTGTGGAGAAGTGTGAGGAACTGAGTGGCAGTGTCTTAGAGCTGGGGTGAAGTTAGGGCAGCCAGGGTTTGAGGAGGATGCCTGCCTGCTTTGTCTCTATTCACCATGCATTAATTCACTTTCCAGGTGAAGTTTCTCCTGCTGTTCAGGTGAGTAAGGTTTGTCTTGCTACATCTGGGTGCATCTGTGGTAGCAAATATTTGTAAATCTATTTGTATAACAAGCAGATGACAGGGAAGTGTGAAGTGTGGTCAGGGAGAGCACTAAAGAGAGCAAGTAGCTGCTGCCAGAGGGAACAGCTTACGAACTGCAAACCCTATCACCCTGGGTGAGTTGTCATGGCTGAAGGTACTGTGCCATGTGCCCCTTAGCCCTTGCTATGAAAGAGGCTATTACGTCAAACCAACAGGAGCTGAGGGCTCTGCTGCTCTAGTTCATGGTCAGCATTGACTCCAGCTGGCATTTTCTGGGGCTGGGGTAGCAGCACAGGCTGAGGCCAGAGCTGACTGAGGTGTGGGCACTCACTCCCTGCTGTCAGCCTAGCCTGTCTGTAGGACTGAAGGGCAGCACAGACCCCAGTGTCATGTTCAAGCCCAGCTCATAGGCAGGTCTCCACATGCTGGTATGGGTGCAGCAGAAACTGCACTGGAGCAGTTGGGGGTGGTGATCTCCCACACTGCTGTGTGAATTCACCCTTTCTGATGGGAGCAGCCTGGAGACTGATTCTCTGCCCGATTCTCCTGGGGTTGGGTTTCTTTATTATGAGTCTCACTTGAAAAATACGTGTCTTTTGATCACTGCTGTGAATAGAGTTTGGGCTGTATCTCTCCTGAGGATCATTGTGTCCCCTTGCTGCAGCAGCTCAGCTCGCAGAATGTACTTGCAGACCCTCTGAGAGAGGGAACAGTGCTGCCATCATCACTGCTTCACAGATGTGAAGTGACTTGCCAAGGACACATGAGAAATCTCAAGACAGGGAAGAAATTTGAACCAAAGCTTCCAAATTTACAGCAGAGCTAGTCTGGGTCTTATGTTTCTCAGCCACTTGTTTTCTTCATCCATTGCAGAAAGGTTTTCGGAGCAAACTCAGGTTGTGCTCCAACATCTCCTTTTTAGCCATGGGTTTGCCAGGAGGGGATGCTGAGAAAGAGCATCTAGCACCAATCACCCTTCTAGGAGGTAGCACTCTTGAGGCAGGTCAAAGCAGTGGCTGTTCTCAGCCCTTCAGAGCTGCGAGTGACAGTGGCAGGATTTACCGTGTCCGGATGCCCGATAGCAGTGCCCTGGGTCTCACCTGCAGGGCTTGCTGGCATGGCTCCTCTGTGGGCAGCCCCCTGGGCATGGCCAGGAGTTGTGTTTTGCTCAGGACTATGTGCTCAGGACAGAGAGGCCCTGCCAGCTGCATCCAGCCATGTCAGCTTCTCCTCTCAGGACAGCGTCTTGGGGAGCAAGAGGACCCAGGAGGTGGGTGGGAAAATGTCTCAGTAATGCTGCATCCCAGCTACATGGCTCATGGATAGAAGCAGTCCTATGTTTCTGTCCCTCAGGGCACTGCTGATGCCACCGCTGAGCTCCCCACACACAGAGGTGAGTGCCTGGCTGGCAGGAGGGCAGGGCTTGTGAGGAAGAGGATGGGGCAGCGAGGAGGGAGGAGAGCGGCGGGGATGCTGGGAGCTGCCTCCTCTGCACAGCAGCCCCCAGCGCTGGACAGGACAGGCTCCTGGCTGGGCTGGCTGTGGGACGGCTCAGGGGACCCCCACCGTACCAGGGTGGCTGATGTGAGGCTGTAGAGATGCAGGGAGGTGGTGGATCTCCAGCGAGGTGGAGGAGGCTGTGTTAAAGAACAAGTTGATAGGGTTGCTGCAGCCACCCTGTGGCCCCTTCCCAAGTGCTCTCTCGGGACTGTGGATGCAGGGACACCCAGCATGGGTAAACCTTGGGTGGGCACCTCTGTCTGGGATTGGTGGCTGGACCTCACTTCTCCTCTTCTTCCTCAGGAGAGGAAGAGGAGTCCTGGCACGGTCCTCCCCAGCCTGGCCCCAGCACCACCTGGGATGCTGCTGCTCCAACACAGATTCCAGCGCAGGGCTTGGGTGCGTGTCCACCACTCTCAGAGATTTCTCTCCTCTCACTGCCTGGCACTATGGGGAAATTATGCCCAGGGGCTCTCTCCCTTCCTTAAGCCTGTTTGTCCTCCCACATGCCCCCCTTGACTTCCCAAAGCAAAGTCCCTTCCCTACCACTTTGGGGTGTTGTCCCAGCCTTGTCCTGTCTGCTGCCAGCCATGGAAAGCTGCCTGGCTGTGGGGAGGCATGCAAGCGATCCCATACAGGGAGCACACTGTGTGGCTTTCTGCGTCCTTCCCCGCCTGCAGCTCACTTGCCAGGTGCAGCAGTGGCTGCCGGGCGCAGGGGATCACGCGCCCACTCCAGTGGCTGTGGCCCCGTTCCCCCCGAGTGTGAGCTGACTCATCGGGAAGGGGGAGCGCAAGGGGAGGCATGTGGCTCCCGGGGCGGCTTGTTTACTGCGCCGGAAACAAGGGCGCTGTTGTTCCAGGGTTGCTTAAGTGTCTGGGAGCGCAGCCCCTGCCCTCCGACGGGGGCTGGAGCACCTTGGGGAGCAGGCCTGGCGGAGGCACCTTGCTGAGGAATGCGTCTTCCTTCAATAGGCTTTTGTTTGAGGTTGGACTGGCCCCTCCTGGCCGGCTCAGTGCCGAAGGGTGTGCCATGCCCCCCTCCCCTGCCACTGCTGCCTGCACTCCCACTTAGCAGGACTGTGGGGTCAGGGCAGGGAGTCCTGCTGTCACCCCCCAAAGGATCCCACTGACAAGTGCCAGGCTCTGCTTCCAGCCCTCCTCCAAGGCGTGGGGCTGGCAGGCTTCCTCACCACCCTTGTGTGGGGCTGGAGCACAGGTGAGCAGTGCAGGGGACCCCATCACGGTGGGGTCAGGCCAGAGGAGGTGGTGGGATGTGCTGTGTCCTCCCTGCAGCTCTACGGGTACAGGCTGCCTAGAGATGTAGAGGAGCAGGCTCAGTATCACTCTCTAAGAAAGGAAAAAGCAGCCTCCCCGTGTGTGGGTATGGTGCTGGGGGCACAAGGCAGACACTGAACTCCATGCACCCTTTCAGTGTTGCCTGCAATCCTGTGCTCTCTCCTCCCAGGGGTTGGCAGCTGTGCCTCTTCACCTCTCTCCTGTGGAGCTGGCGCTTGTGTGCTTACCCTAGAGGGATACAGCTGCTTGTGCCACCCCGGCTACACACTGGACCCCAGCCGCCTGCGCTGCATTGGTAGGTTGGCACCTCCTCTGCCTGCTGGGCCACAACAAACCGTTTGGTCTTTCAGGCTCCTAGGGGAAGGTTTTCTGGCAGCTCTTCTGAGCCCCTGCCCACCTGCTGCAGTGCGGGGCTTGCAGGAGAGTGGCAGGCAGCTGCGGGTGGTGACTGCCTGTCTTCCTTCCTTGCCTGGGCACAGATGAAGATGAGTGCCTGAAAGATCCTTGTGCTGGAAAAGGTCACTGCATCAACAGCGTGGGCTCCTATTTGTGCCTCTGCTACTCTGGGTACACCCTGGCTGTCTCAGAGGGCAAGCAGAGCTGTGAGGGTAAGTGGTGTTTGCCTGGCACAGGGCTGCCACCTCCCCAGGATCTCCTCAGTCTCCTGCTCTCATGCAGTCTCATGCATATGCCCACACATCTGCACACACACAGGCACACCTGCACACCCTCCCTCCCTGCAGTCCTGCCCACAGACAGCCTGTTCCACAGGGATCACCCTCTCCTGCTCGCTCAGGGACCGGACCTTGCCCATGATTTGGCAGGCACCTGTGATGCCAGCCCTGATCACTGACTGCATCATGGCGAGAGGGGTGCTAGGACAGATGGAGGTGGAGGAGAGCCCCGGCAGCGGTCCCCTGGGCAGACACTGCTTCAGGTGCAGCAGGTCCTTGCCTGCACCCAGCTTTCTCCAAGCTGGAGGGAGAAGACTTCAGGCTGTCTCCCTGTCTGTTGCCAGATCGAGATGAATGTGAGCAGCCCTCTACCTGCCGAGGACAGCGATGCATCAACACTCCTGGCTCCTACTTCTGCGAGTGCAAGGAGGGCTTTGCCATGGGCCCCAGAGGACAGTGTGAAGGTGAAGCTTGCTGCTCCCTGTTCCCCTGTGCCTCCAACCCACCCTGTGCAGGACTGAACACCTTCTTTCCTCACTGCTTCGTGTCTCCCCAAGGAGACAGCCTGCAGGAGGGACACCTTTCCTGGGCAGAGGGAGGGGACTTCTTCCACGATCCTCTTCCACCTCCCCAGGGAGATCCCCCATGCCAGCTTCCCATTCTGGGAGGAGATGCCCATCCATTTTCATGCCACCTAGACTCTGTCACCAGACCCTTGTGCTGCCAAGTGGACTGCAGGGAGAGCAGGCTACAGAGACTCAGGCCACCTGTCCCACAGCATCCCACTCACATGGCACAACCTGGGCCCTTCAGAGCGTTTGACTTTGTAAACATATGATGTGCCTGATCAAAGATCCCCCTTTCTTAGTAGCTCATCTCCAACAGAGAGTGAGAGACTATTACCGGAGGCTGTACAGGAAACAGGGCATGCACAGAATCCTGCTCCTCCCCACACAGCCTCCAGGAAGCACTTGCCTTAAGGGCTTCCTCAGATGGAGGCTACATCCTAATCATAGTTATGAAAGTCCCTGATGAAACAGCCCTGCACAGATGTTTTTTGATCCCTTTCTCTGCCCATGCACATTCCTGACCTTGGCAACATCCTGTGGCAAGGAGTTTCATTGCTGGATTATGTCAGCCCTCAGGTGTGTGTGTAGGATCCTGAGTGGTAAGTGGGACTATAAGAAGTGTTGCCCAAGCCTGACAATCTTGTCTTATTTCCTCTTGGACATCACTATCCCCCAGAGGGGGACTCCGAGGATCCAGCAGTACATCCTGGAGAAGGCTACACTGATTGCCTTTGGGAGCCTGAAAGGAGTGTGTTTCTTGGCAGATGTCAACGAGTGTGTGGATCCCAGCCCTTGCCGCAGCGGGAAGTGTGTCAATACGCTGGGATCCTACAAGTGTGTCAGCTGTGGGGATGGCTACCGTCCCAGGAACGGGAGATGTATTGGTGAGGAGCTTGTTTCTGGGCAGCACCTTCGCCCCCCTGTGGAAATTCTCCCTGCAAACCTCAAAAGGAGCAGGGGCACAGGCATCACCCTTTTTCCATAGGCAGCCAGCCTGTGTGGCCAGGGCACAGCACCCTCATGGCTTGGGTGGTGGGGACAGCCCTGAGCACCCTCCCATGCCATGTTGTCCTCTGTTGTGTCATGCAGACGTGGATGAGTGCCTTGTGGAGGGGACTTGTGCTCACGGACGGTGTGTCAACTTTGATGGCTCCTTCCGTTGTTCCTGCTACCGGGGCTATGAGGTGGCACCTGATGGAAAGAGCTGCCAAGGTACCGGGGTGCCGTGGGTCCAAACCCTCTGAAGTCTCATGCACCCAGTCCAGAGGTTTCCCTAGACTCTTCCTGAGCACTTGGCTCTGCCTGAGTCCTGACCAAAATGTTGTCTAGTTCTCTCAAGACATCTGCCCCTTGTCATGGTTATGCCACATCCTTCCCACTCATCCCGCTCTCTCTCGTGTGCTTATGCAGACATCAATGAATGCACAGCCCAGGCTCCCTGTCCCTCTGGACTCTGCCTCAACACGGAGGGCTCCTACTCCTGCATGGCTTGTGACGCCGGCTACACTGTTTCCAGAGATGGCAGCACATGTGAAGGTATCCCTTCCCAGGAACAGAGGAGCAGGTGCTGGAGGGAATGAGGGAAGAGGCATTGCCATAGCTGGGTTATAAGTGGTGCCTGAGGACTTCTTTAGCCTCAAGATCTCTCTCCAACTCTTTAGCTGTCTAATCAGCAGAGAGTGTGAAGAGCTGCAAGCAGATGTCACCTAGAGCAGCAGGAAGGTGATCTTCCTCATGCAGGAAAGGGATGGGGGGAAGGATTCATTGATGAGACTTCTGGACTAATGATGACCTGGGGGATGCTGACAAAGGCCAGAGGAGTACGGGAGGCTTGGAAACATGGGCAGAGAACCACATACAGTTGTTCAGTTCAGAACTGTATGCCTAGGAGCATGTGACGAAAATGTACGTTCTCAACAGAGGGCGAAACCTTGGGTCCACAGACAGTGGAGAGACTGTGGGCACCCAGGTTTCATCACTTCTCCCCAGCCCCTAATGTAATGTTTAAAAGTGAAGGCTTAGTTCAAGCGCTCTGCTGTCCCTGGTATGCATGGCAGAGAGTTAACACTAGCATTGATCTGTGTTAGTTGCATTGCTGAGACATGAGAGCACTCCATCCCAGCCTTACAGCCTGACTGCCCCAGCACAAGCAGGGAAACTTCCTCCCTGCCCCCAGGGAATGTCTGGGCTTGAGATTGCTTGATGCAAAGTCCCTGTTTGGGGCAAGAGAAGGGAGAAGGCAGAGTTGGCAAAGGTATTTGTTTAAAAATTGGCCATGTGCTGTGAATATTTCTCTGGAGCACTGCAGAGCTCTGCAGCCTGCACATAGCTGGCAAACAGAAGATCTTACCTTTGATGTGACTCTCAGAAGACCCCTTCTGCATGGGGGTCTCCAATGGGGGAGGAGAGGGAGGCTTTCCTCTCTCTATTCTCCTCTGTTTCGGTGTATGAGGAAGCCAGTGTGAAATGAGTTTAGTTTCCATCTGATTTTTGGGTTCATAGTTTGATCCCTTCCATCTGCCCTCCCCCTTTCCCAAAATTCCATGTGAGACCGTTCTCAGCCACCTTGCCCCAGCCATGTCACGAGGGCACCTTATCAGGGTTTGATACTGTTTGGGTCACAATGACCTGATGGCAGGATGGCATGTTCTTCCCTGCCTTGGCTGGTGGCCTTGTCTGTGGATCTAGGTTTCATATTTGAAAAATGATAAGGGTTTTATGATAGCTTTGTGATAAATTAACTAGGCTATGGTTCACCTCGAGAAGGATTCAAGAATATTGCAACTTGCAACCCTATGAGACTGAACAGCTGGGAGTGCCTTGAGGCAGTAGTGAATGATGCTTGTTTATGATGCTTGTGCTCTTCGAAGGGGAAGAGAAGGTCCCTGTCATGCCTTTAGGAGCTGCCAGTCTGAGAAATTTAGCTACTTTGTCCCCTCCAGGTCAGGGGACAAGAGCAGAGTATGTCTTCTTCTGCCTGCACACCAGCCCATCCTCCTGAATAGCAGCATCCTCCAATGCTTCCCCCTACCTCATGGGCCTGGGGGCAACAGCAGTCTGCTGGCATCTCTCAGTCCTCTGTTAGAGGGAAGGTACCCCTCTCTCCTCTGCTGTGAGCAAAATCCTCAGAGTGCCAGCAGGCTCTGGCCAAGGCTTGGGGTAGTTGGGTGGGAGAGGGTTTGTGTGGAGCTTTGCAGCTCAGTCAGAACAGATGTAGGCCACCAGCCAACTTTACTAGGGGAAGGACATTGTAGACAAGTCTGGCAGGTAGGAGAGCAGAGCAACAGAAGGTATGGCTGGTGCTGGGTTACTTTCCTGATGTTTGCTCTTGGGCAGTTGGCTGAAGAGAGGGTTCATCAGGAACTGAGGCGCTGCGCTGGCCCCTTGGTGGTTGTCTGTACCAAGTGCAGAGCTCTGCTGGAGGTGTGCACTGGGGTTAGCGGTATCCCTGTGCTCACAGAATCACCAAGTGGCTGAAGCTGGAAGGGACCTCTGGAGATCATCTTGTCCAACCCCCCTGCTCAAGCAGAGCCACCTAGAGGCGGTTGTCCAGGACCATGGCTTTTGAGTATCTCCAAGGATGGAGACTCCACAACCCATTTGGGCAACCTGTGCCAGTGCTCAGTAATCCTCACATTAAAAAAGTGTTTCCTGATGTTCAGATGGGACCTCCTGTGTTTCAGTTTGTGTCCATTGCCTCTGGTCCTGTCACTGGGCACTGCTGACTTTGTGCTGGGATTCAGTTTATCCTGGTTCCTTTGATGGAGAGGAGTGAAGCGTCTGGGCTGACTCCTTACACCCCAGTAACAGGGAGTCTCTGCCCTCATCTCACTCTGATGGGGTGGTCTGGTAGGGCAGCTCAAACCCACCTTGCAAGCTAACAGCTAGGTGATGGCTCCTCTGGGTGGGGAACTTCTCCAGTGGCAGCAAGAGCTGGGGCCTCACTCTGTGCTGTGCCTTTCTGCTTGGCAGATATGGATGAGTGTGAGGACCCTGCTGTTCAGTGCCTGGGGGGAGAGTGCAGGAACACCCCGGGCTCCTACGAGTGCCACTGCCAGGTTGGCTTCGAGCTCATCAACAGCACCGTGTGCCAAGGTACAAACCCTCTCCCTGCAGCCTTCTGGGTCTAGGACATACAGCCTCCCTATGGATCCCCCTTCTTTCTTGGCAGGGAGGATGCACTTATGGCACATCCATAAGATTATAGCCAAATGCAGAATCACCATGGAGAGAGATCTCTGTCTCCATGGCAAGAAAACCAGGGGCCAGCAGGGTTTTCTGCTGTAAGAGGCTGGGGAGAGGAAATCCATGTGGCTTTGGTGAAGGATGTCCTTCAGGGCTGGGTATGTGGCCCTGACTATGCTCCCTCTGCAGATGTGAACGAGTGCCTAAACAGTGAGACCTGCAGCCCCAATGGTGAGTGTCTCAACAGTCACGGATCCTACTTCTGCATTTGTGCTCCTGGCTTCTCAAACGCGGCTGGCGGACCCAGCTGCCAAGGTGAGCTGGAAGATGGCAGGCACATACCTCAGGTCCTGCCCTCTACTCCCTCCCCAGCTGTGAGATCCAGGTTGATGATTTTGGCCTGTTTTTGCAGATGTGGATGAATGTGCAGACAAGTCCCGATGCTCAGAAGGCCAGTGCCTGAACACAGAAGGTTCCTACAGGTGTCTGTGTGAAAATGGGTTCAAACACTCCCAGGAGACTGATGACTGCGTGGGTGAGAGCTCATTGTTGGGGAGATCAGTCCCCTGGGATTTGGGGGGATGGATGCAGCCAGTGCAGGGGGGGAGGGAAGTTCTGCTCCCAGCACCCAAAATTTCTCGTGACTTGTAAGGAGGACTAGAAATGGCTCACGGCCTCTGGCCAACTGAACTTGACCCAGGTGCTGCAGTGAGCAAGCAGGGTCCCCATCTGACCAACCTCATCCCCTTGCCCTCCTCCCTGCAGATGTGGATGAGTGTAAAGAATATGGGGATGCCATCTGTGGCACGTGGCGGTGCCAGAACAGCTTGGGCTCCTACCGGTGTATCATGGGCTGCCAGCCTGGCTTCCACTGGACCCCCTTGGGTGACTGCATTGGTGAGTACAGCCCTGGGTGTCCCCATCCCCACTTCTGGTAGGGACAGGGTCTCTGTGTGACATCTCTACCAGGGCCGTGGAGGAGAAGGAGGAGGAGGAGGAAATGTATGGCTGGTGGAGAGGCAGATAATGCTGAGAGTTTGTTTTCTTGGCTGAGCTGCCTGATTGTGTCTAGACTTCTCTCTTCCTGGCATCTGGAACAGACACCACATTGTGCTGCTTTCCGCTTGGGGAGAGTCCTGGGCAGGTTACAGCGATTCCAGGCTTGGGGCTGGACTGCAGCTCACTGTGCTTGTGGGGGCTTGCTGTGCTTGCTAGGGCTGCTGCCTGTGCCAGTCACCTGCCTGGCAAGGCCGGGTGAGGGGAAAAGCTGCTGCTACCACTGTTGCTAGGCTGGGAAGTCTGAGTTTGGAGTTCAGGCTCCAGCAAAGAGGAAAGAGCAACGGGGTTTCTGCAGTTTTTGAGGCTTCCCCCAGCTCAGAGAAGGCGCAGCAAGGAGGAGCTGCTGCCAGCTGCTTGGCTCTGGGCTGCACCAGGACTCAGACTTAGCATGTGGAGCTGCTTCTGGCCCTGGGAGCAGTGGGCTGTGGGTACACAACTGCTCAACCTGCTCCAGGGAAATCTCTCCTGTGCAGCAGTAGGAGGGCAGTGGGATGCAGCCAGCGAGGCTGTAAACCTGCCCTCTGTAGGCAGAGGACCCAGTTCTAACTGTCCAAACCCAGTGGGCTGAGGCAAGGCAGAGATTACTCCCTGGCACTATAGCAGCTGAAGTACTAGGTCAAGAAGAACAGAGCAGGAAAGTATCATTCTAGATCTGTCTGCACTTGCCCCACACACTTCAGTTGCACCCTTGTATCTCCTGTTGATGTGACCCTGTAGTCTCTGTGTCCCTTTATGCCTCTGCAGGGACCTGTGCTACCTGCACTGGCACTGCCAACCATCTCCCACACTTCCCATCCATTTCCCATTCCCACGCTCTCCTGTCACTCTACCCATGTGACCTCTTTGCAGCTCTGGATGTTGCAGGAAGCTTCTAACACACAGTCATAGCAGGGTAGTGAGTGGGGCAACCAGACCCAGTCCCTCACATCAAGGGAATGCCTGCTGCATCCCCAGGTCTTGGGGTTGGAGCAGAAGGGCCTGGGCAGGGGGTGTTCATTGAGAGAGGTGGGGTCTAAGGCAATTCCTGCTCTACACTCTCCTGCAGACATAGATGAATGTGCCAACGAGACGCTGTGCGGGAGCCACGGCTTCTGTGAGAACTCAGACGGCTCCTTCCGCTGCCTCTGTGACCGTGGCTATGAGAGCTCACCCTCCGGGCACTACTGCGTTGGTGAGTCTCCCATGGTTACTCTGCCAGTCAGTGAGGGAGAGGCATCAGCAGATGTCAGGCTGGTGTTCCTACTGTGTGATGGCTCCCACAGCATAGACAGGGACTGTATCTGTGCAGGGAGAATCCCAGACATGGACAGGGCAGCTGATGGAGACAAAACCCCTTCCCTTAGCACAGCAGGTCCTTTTTCTGTGAAAAAGTGAGCAACTCCCAGTGAACATGGAGCCCTTCTCTGTGCAGGTAGAAAGAAGTGCTTGGGGGCTGGAGGCACTGAAGGTGCTAGAGAGCTACTTTAATGTGTGTCTGGAGAGAACAGGCAGAGTGTAATGTAAGGAAAAAGGTTTTCACAGTGAAGACAGGCAGGCAGTGGAACAAATGCCCAAGAAGGCTGTACAGTCACCATCCTTGGAGGTTTTAAAGACACAATAAGACAAAGAAAGCCCTATGCAGCCTGGTGAGATCCCATAACTGACCCTGCTTTGAGCAGGAGGTTAGACTAGACACCTCCAGTTGTCCCTTCAAACCTGGATGATTCTGTGATCCAGTGTCTCACTGCAAGCTAGAGTTCAGGCTCCTTGAATCCACTAAGAGAAGGCAGGAAGCTCTTGCCAAACGTAGGTTGAGCCATGGTGTGAACAGAGCTCTCGTCCCTAGCAACTTCCATCTCCCTGCTGAAGGGTGACCCCATGCTGCAGACCATGCACAGACTGCCCATACAGAGTCAGGGCTCCCGCTGCCCACCGCTGCCCCTTGCTTTGCAGATGTGAATGAGTGCGAGCTGATGGTTGCCGTGTGCGGGACTGCACTTTGCGAGAACGTGGAGGGATCCTTCCTGTGCCTCTGCCCCAGCGACCATGAGGAATACGACACAGAGGCAGGGCAGTGCCAGCCCCGAGCAGCCATGGGTGAGTAGGAAGCTAGGACAGAAGCATGGGTGGCAACTAGAGCAGAGAGTGGTAGCTCTGGCTGGGGTGAGATAAAGCTGAGGGGCTGCCGGGGCTGTACAAGCCCATGCAGGCATGGGCAAGCTTTTGTCTGGGGAGAGATGAGGAGCCTGAAAGTGGGGTCCTGGAAAGGCCACGCTGCTGGTGATGGGTGTGCTCTGCGACCTCCTAGGTATGGGATACTGCGTTGGGGCACCAAGGACCCCATCCTGTCCCTGCTCTGCTGTCTTGTAGAGGGCCCCGAGACACACGCGGCCCACCTCTCTGACAGCACAGAGCGCAAGCAGTGCTACTACCACATCAGCGATGTTCGCCTGTGTGACAGCGTCCTGGCCAAGAACATCACCAAGGAGGAGTGCTGCTGTACTGTGGGGGCAGCCTGGGGTGACAACTGTGAGACTTACCCCTGCCCCATCCCGGGCACAGGTAGGACTGGCCTCACCACACTAGGCAAGGCCAGTGCTCTGCCCGCCAGCTCCACAGCAGCTAACAAGCTGTTTCTTTTCTTCCCATCTCCCTTTGGCATCTGCCTCCTGGCCAGTGGAGTACCAAGAGATCTGCCCTCTTGGGAAGGGCTATGTTCCCCAGGAAGATCCACTCTCAGGAAAAGTCTCTTTCACAGGTACTATCACCATTTTCTCTCATTTATTCCAGGGGAAAGAGGGAGGGTGCTGTGCAAAGCCCTGCATGGACTGCCAGTATCATCGAGCTGGGAGTGCCCCTTCCTCCAGTCCTGCCTCACTGCTGGCAGTGATTCTTTCTTGAGGCAAATCTCCCATGCCCATTTCAAACTAGGGATGCATTCCAGTAAGACATAACCCTTCCAGTTACTGATCAGATCTCCCAGTGGCCAGCTGACTCAATCTTTGGCACTTCACCTCCAGGGGCTTGTGTTCTTAACCTTCCAGAAACACACATGAGTTTCCTGTTTGTGAAAGTATACTGTTCCCCATCATCCCTCCTCCTGCTTTGCCTGTGGGTGCATCCCCCTCTGCTCCCAGGCATGGGGCCAGCAGGAGAGGTGGGGGGCTCTCTCATGGACCTGCCAGTGATCCAGGCCAAGGTGCTGTGCCAGCTTTCTGCAGCTACAGCATCCAGCCCACCTTGCTTCCATGGCTCTTCTTCCTGAGACTCTCCCTCCATCCCTCTCTCAGACATGGACGAGTGTGAGATATTTGGATCTGAGTTCTGCCGCAATGGACAATGTTTGAACACGGTGCCAGGCTACAAGTGCTTCTGCCGTACAGGCTACTTCTACGATTCCAGCAGGCTTGAGTGTGTTGGTAAGGTGGCCTCAAGGAGCAGCGGGCACTCCACTGCACACAGAGGGACAGCTGTGCTGCTGCACCCAGAGTTGTCCCTGCTGCCCACGCTACAGGGCCAGGTCTGGGCGACAGGTTTCCTGGAACCCTCCTGGGGAACGAGAGAGGAGGTGGCAAGAGCCCCCAAGGTCCCCATTTGGGCAGGAAAAGGGTCACATTGCTCATGTCTGCCAGCCTGAAATGTTGCTCTGTCCTTGTGCATGGGCAGACCAGGATGAGTGTCAGAACGAAGTGTACTGCATCAACGGCGAGTGTCTGAACACAGACGGCTCCTACCACTGCTTCTGCAGCCTTCCTCTCGTGCTGGATGCAACCGGCAACCGGTGTATGAACCTCTCCAGCAGGGCAGGTGAGCCTGAGCCCCCGCCACAGCACACCCATGCCCCGCACATCTTGCCCCACGGCTGTGTCTCCCAGGAGAGCGCAGCAGGTGGGGGCTTGGTGCCAGGCTGAGGTGTGCTAGCACCAGCACAATGTGCAGCCAGGCAGTGGGGGCAGGAGCCTGGGGGACACAGTTGTCCCTCTCAGGACAAGGTAGGGTGGCACTCTTCTGGGTGATTTTCATGGCATCCTTTGCTTGTGTCACTCACAGATGCCTTGGAGGAGTATGAAATCCACCTGGACGTCTGCTGGCAGACCGTCGCTGACTACATCTGCCAAGACCTGCTGCATGGTGAGCAGACTACATACACCGAGTGCTGCTGCCGGTTTGGTGAAGCCTGGGGCCAGAACTGCGCACTCTGCCCGCACAGGTCCTCCGGTGAGTGGGACAGCACAGGCAAGCATCCCCCGGCCGAGGTGGGGATGGGCTGGGCTGCTGCCAGCATGTCATGCAGGGTCAGTCATGTACGACTGCAGCAAGGGCTCCTCTTGTTGTCTCCACTGCCAAAGCCAGCCCAAGGCGCGGGTGAACCCCCACCTTCTCCAGGGTTGAGCTGCACTGGTGGGTAGGATGTACCTGAAACTGGTTTGCAATGAGTTAAAGGTGTTTGAGGGGAGAGTTGCTCTGTGCATCCCACTATACCTGCTTGGCTTAGGAGAGGTGAGGCAGTGGCAGCCCAGGATGGGAGCACACTGGAAATTGGGGTTCTTGCTGCTCAAGGACTTGCTGGCCTCAGACAGGAGTTTGTTTTCTCAAAGACAGGATCCTGTCAGCAAACTACAGGGCTGCAGCTTTGGAGCCCATTGAACACAGGCCTGACTGCTGGCCCGGTGTGGATGCACCTTCTTCAGCTATAGCAGACTGTCCTCTCCTGAGCCAGCTGCTGACCCTTCCTTTTCTCTCACCAATTGCAGCTGATTTTGCTTACCTGTGTAATGGGGCCAGTGAAGACAGTGAGAGAGGGGCTGAGCTCCGAGAAAGACCTAGGTATGAGTATGCACCAGGCTTGGAAGACCCCCACTATGGCCTTCCCAGCCCTGATATGGGCCCCTACTACAACTACCTGGAGTCTGAGTATGGAAACCCTGATGCTGGTTTCCCTCGGAGAGAACCCAACAGCGAGTTCCGTGGCAGCCCTCTCCACCATGGCCCAGGGCAGTCCCCACCCCGCTACCTGCCCAGCCAAACTGGTGAGTACTGGGAGACACAGGAGAGGTGCCTTCCCACCCAGCCTGTGTCTATGGGGACTGCCTGGCAGCTCCCACCCCAGACAGGGTGCTCCAAGATTGGAGCAGTCTTGGCACCTGACTGCTCTGAGTTGGTCCTGGCCCCACCAGCACTGTCTTGCCTTGTGCCCAGTGTCCCCTCCATGGCTGGGTGGAGGGTCACCCTGCTCTGACACCGCCTTGCCACTCTCCAGGCCTCTACGAGGGCTTTGAGGGGCTGCAGGCTGAGGAGTGCGGGATCCTCAACGGCTGTGAGAACGGGCGCTGCGTGCGCGTCCGGGAGGGCTACACCTGTGACTGCTTTGACGGCTTCCAGCTGGACATGACCCGCATGGCCTGCGTGGGTGAGTGTCGGCCGGGGCTGCCCGGCGCTGCAGCCGGGGCTGTGCGGGCAGCCTGGCCCCCGCATCCCTTGGCGGCTGCCGCTCTCTGGCGGTGCTGGCCGGGAGAGCCGCCGGAGGAGCCCCTACTCTCCCTGGTGCTTCCCTCCCGTGGAACTGGGAGGACCTTCCTGGAGGTTCAGCCAGCCACTTTCTGCTGGCAGCTGAATCGGGGCACCTCTGGGCATCATGGGGAGCAGTGATCACTCCCTTCTTCACATAACACTCTGGTAGATCACCAGCCACTGTTAGCATAGCCCTGATTAATTTCCTCTACATTCACCACTGCCCTGGTGAAATTCCTTGCTTACCCTGCCCTGTGAGACACAATCTCTGTAGCTTCTCTCTGCATTTCCTCTACAACCCTATGTCATGTCTCCATTCTTTTCACAGTGCAGCTCCCCAAGCCAGCTGAGGCTGCAGGCACTGAACAGGGCAGATGAAGACCCTCTTTTTCCTTAGGCATGGTACTTACTCCCTCTCCCAGCAGCCTTATTGCACGACATGATGGTGCATCTTCTTCATACAGAACCCATGGTTTCTGCCTCCCCAAATGCTACCGGGCAGAACGACTGCCTGAGCTGTTATTCCTCCTTCTGCATTTGTGTGCTCTGTGTGCTTTTCGTTGGCCATAGTGCTTTGCATTTGCCTTCAGTGAATTTTGTCTGGTTGAATTTGGACCACTTCTCTGCTTGATGAGAATGAGTCTGAATCCTGTAAAGTCCTTGCAGCCTGGCATCACACACATACATTTTATAAGCATGGAGATTCTTCCTTCATCCACCTTAATGACAACATTTGGCTGGAGTAGGGGTCTGGACAGACCCCTGCAGACTATGCTATAATGACTTTTATTGTAACAGCCAGTAATATTGCTAATTATCTTTGGAGTGCAGCTTTGCAGACCATTGTGTAATTGCCACAGTTTAATCTAGACTGTATTTTCTCAGTCTGTTTGAGTATGTCATGTGGGAGTGTGTTGAAATCCTCACTGTGGCCAAAGCACATCATATCCACTGTTTGTCCCTTATCTGACAGACCAGTTATCAGGTCAGCAAAGGGAACCAGATTGGCTTAATGTAATCAGGCCTTAACAGATCTGCACCAGCTATTTAATGACCCTGATGATATCCTCTGGAGGGTTATGACCTAATCACTCACAAACCTGGTCTACTTAAGGGAATGGGGGTGAGCAGTCTGTAATTCTGGATTCTCCCTTCTGTTTTTGAAGATAGTTACCAGATTTACCCTTCCTTGGGTCTCTGAGACCTTGTCCATCTCAGAGAGAACTGCCAACTTTTCCAGGACCGCTGGAGCATTAAGCATGTGAAGATGAGTTGCAGCAAGCCTTTAGCAATGTGGATGTAAATGCTTTATCTTTACGATTGTCAAACCTCTCCATCACAGTGTAGCCTTTCGCTCCCTGTGCTCCTACACCTTCATTTAAACACTTCAAACATGGTCTGCACCCTGTCTGGTCAGCACATGCATTTTTATGATGGCTGGAACAAATCCCACATTAGCTGCTTCAGTCAGCTCGGCTGGCTTTTGTTTTCTCTGACGATAAGGACCAGACTGACATTCCCCATTATTTCCTGCTAACATATTTATGGAGCCTTAGCCTGTTGTCTTTCGTGTCCTGGACTAACTAGCACTCATTTTACACTGGAGCCTGTCTCGTTTTTTTTTCCTTTCTCCTGCTTGGTGCTTAGTCATCCCGATGTTTTTACCTTGCTGACTTTAGAGTACTCCTGCAGCTGCTGCAGTGCTTCCCTTCTCGCCTCCCTGTGCGGGTAGCCTGACTTCATCCTGCAAATTGGGCTGCCTGCCCCCACCCCTGCCTGAGTGGGCAGGTTCCAGGACTTGGTGCATACTGCTAGCACTACTCTACTGCTTCTAGCTTTCAGGTGCCTCTGGGCTCTCCTCTCAATCTGGTGGTCCAAGGCCAGACCAGCCTGCCTGCTCTTCCCCCTTTTATCTTCCCCTGGAGCCCCCAGCAAGGCTGCCTGCCAGCCACTTCCCAGGTTGTGCAACACATCTCCCTTGATATGCTGCCTAACATCTCGTCCTTGGGCTTCTGAGCAAGCCCATCCTGACCACAGCAATGTTCTGGTTCTGAGGCTTAGCCCAAGTCCACAGTGTCCAGTCAGCCATTGCTTTGGCTGCATACGAAGGCTGCCTTGTTCCTCAGGCTCCCTCATCTCATACTTCTCTCCTCCTTGTGACTGCAGTGCTTCCTCCTGTTTGGCTTCCAGCCTCCCTCCCTGGGGTTGCTCTTCCCTTTCTTTGCCAGATGGCCCCCTCCACCTGTACTAGGAATAACCCCAGGTCCCTGGGGCAACCAAGCAATTCAGTCCTTCTGAGGTCCATCAGTCACTGCTGGGGCCTTCACTTTTCCTTGGGTGGCTGGCTGAACCCAATAGCTGCTCCCCACTCCTGCTCCTGGCCAATCTGTGGGGTGTGAGGCTGGAGTTTGTGGTCAGAGGGCTTGGACCTGCCTTGGCAGGTGAGGATTTGGCAGGTCCTGTGGGTACAAACAAGGTCTCTGGGGTGCACAGTGATGCTCTGCCCAGCTGGTGACCTCACCACAAATTGGTGTAGCTCAGGCAGGGAGTCCATGGAAGTACATTTAGCAGAGCAGATCCGTTACAGCAGGGCAGCTGCTGTAGGGCTCATGTGCAAGCTCTAGCCCAGAAGCAAGCTGGCCGAGTGAGCCCTTTGGCAGAGTTTGCAGGTTAATAAAACAAGCCTTGTTTGCACAGCATGAGGTCCCTCTGTGTTCTGGTCCTGGAGGTGATAATCGGCCTCTCAGGGCCACCATCATCTGCCTCCTCAGCCTCGTCAGATCAGGAAAGGGCCTTTTCCAAGGCTGGAGGCGGCCTTTTTACGCTAGCACAATTTCTTAACAGGAAACTGCTAATCTGAGGTGTGACCAGGAAGGGGGTGGGGGTGGCTATCTATTATGCATTGCTGGGAGGAGCGGGGCTCTTTCCTGTGCTGGGGAATGCCAAATGCTAGGGATGTCACCGTTGGGGTCTGAGGGTACTCTGCAGATGTGCTGAGCGGTGTGGGAGGCTGGTGGGGTCACAGCGGGCATCGTGGAGGTGCTTGTGGGGGGCATGGATCACCTGTGGGGGAGGGCTGAGGAGTGTCAGGAGCACAAGGAGATGTTGGCTGCAGGCTGGGACTGCTCACTGTGCCACCGGCTCACCCCCATCCTTCTCTTCCTTGTAGACATCAATGAGTGCGAGGAGGTGGATGGCCCTGAGCCCCTGTGCCGGGGCGGCACTTGCGAGAACACGGAGGGCTCCTACCGCTGCCACTGTTTGCCAGGCTATGTGGCCCTGGCTCGGCCCCACCACTGCGTGCCCCAGACAGCCCAGAGCCCAGCGGCAGCATAGCTCTAGAGGAGTGGGGGTGAGGGTGCTCCCCTCCAGCACACAGCTCTGGCACCTGGGACCTGGGAGCACAGAGAAAGGCCCCCCTGGGGCTGCGGGTGCTTTGGGCTCTTTGCTCCTTCCCCTCTGAAGTGCACAACTTCCCCGCCACCTCTCTCCACAGGCCAGGGCTGAGCTCCCAGCCTCTGCACCGCCCTCTGCCCTGCCAGCCCCTGCTTCTTCTGCAGCAGAGCCCACCCCAGCACCCATCACATTGCCCTGCACCATGGAGGCTCACGGGGTGCCTTCCCCTGCCACGCAGCTCCAGCCTCCCTGCCTTGCCCTGCCAAAAAGGGGGTTCATCTCCCTGCCACTGCTGCACTGACCTAGTGACAAGCCTCACCCACTCTGCAGTGCTGTCCCTGCTCCTCATGAAGCATCCGGCCCCCAGACCAGAGCTTTGAGGGGAGGGTCAACCCCAGCTTTTAAAGCTGCTGCCTAACCTTGGGGTGTGGGGGAAGAGGCCAGAGGGGCCCTAGGGCCAGCTCTCCCTGCAGCCAATCCAGGTGCATCCCTTAGCCCTGCACTGGCTGGGCAGGGGGAGCAGGGGTAGGTCCAGCTTCCTTTCTGTAAAGTTGTTGGTGGTTGTTTTTTTTTTTAACCAAGTCTGCTGGAAACTTCTCTCATGTTGTTAAATAAAACATTTATTTTGGGCCCCTGCGGCTCAAGACACTGGGGTTGGTCAGAACTGTGCTTGTCTTGCCTCTGCCAAGTGGTACCGGAGCCACAGCCTCCCTGTGGGTACAGCCTGGCAAGCCCCCCTGCCCCCAATCCCCTAAGTCAATTCTTACCCCTCTCACGCTGGCACCCAGCCACCTCCCTCTCCTGAGCAGAGACCCTTGCCAGGCCAAATATTTGCTTATCTATCTCCCCAGCCCAGGGCCAGCCATAGGAGCTAACTCCAGCCCCCACAGCAGCCGTGGCTGCTCACACCCTACCTTGTTCACACACAAGGGGGGTGCAGTTGAAGCATGAGAGCACATTGGTTTCTGCAGTTGGCAAGAGCCCTTGAGCAGGTCTTGCAGCTGCTTTTCCAGCCCCAGAGCCCTCACTAGAAAAGCCTTTACTCATGCTGCAGCAAGCAAGGCCACGCTCTACCCCACCTCCTCAGGGAGCCTCTGCACCATTTCAGGCCAGCCCAGGACCAGCAAGGCAGGAGAACAGCCAGCTGGACAGCCTGGCTGCTCACAGGTCATACACTCAGAGCAGCATAACCCCATCTATCCACGCCTTCAGTATAGAAGCAAGACCAACCCAAGCAGAAGATGTCCAGCCACTCGACTTTTCCTCCTGCTCCTTTCCACTCACAGAAGACAACACAACAGATTTTGTTTAGCTTTTATTAAAAGGAAAGTTATAAAAAGAGGTTCAGGAGCTCCCAGCAGCTCTGAGTTAGTAGTAGTGCAAACCATTGGTTAGAAAAAGAATCATCCCTGCAGAGACATCGAACGCCACTTGGCTTTGCATCCACAAAAAGGAAGCTTTCCTAGCTGCAGTCCTACCAGCTCAGGGAAAGTCTCCTTTCCTCTCCAGCTGCATGGGTGGCAAACGCAGGTCCCAGGGGCATCCTGGTTGCAACAAGAGCAGGAGAAGCACAGGAGGGTGGATGCAGCTGGCATTCTAGAAGAGGCACTGAAAGATTACCAGGTAGAAGCTCAGACACCAGCCAGGTTCATCGCAGAGAAAGTCATTTGTGAGGACAGACAGCTCCATTTCACTAAACCACCTCTGCAAAGCAGCTGGAGGATGATCCTCAGTCAGTCCTGCTCCCACTTGAGCTGCTGTGAGAACACCGTAGGGGGCTCTGAACGGGCTAAGAACCCTCTGCCCATGCTTGCAGGAACACAGCACTGGCTGCTCAGAGGCTATAGAACTCTGAAGAAAGCAGTAAGAAATGCTTATTATATAAAAGAATTTGGCCTGTGTTGTCTCCTGGTTTTCCCCTCCCCAAGCCCTACTAATGACAGGACTCCTCAGCTGGTGATTTGCACTGGTATCTTCCAGCAAAACAACATCTGGTCCTGGTCATCCACCAGCTCCCACTTCACAATCAATTTAATCTGAAAGAGAGAGAAGAGCAGAGGGAAATGAGAGTCTTCGGGAAACCGTAAAGCAAGGTCACAGGGAGGCAAGTTATCACTTGTGTGGAGCAAGGAAGTCCTATGAGCAATGTGCAAAGGAGGACAGAGCTGGGATACCACCCCCACTGCAGCAGGCAGGCCACGCTCATGCAGTGACTCCTGGAGTATGTTAAGTAAACGCAGGGTTCTGTTGCATGACACAGGAGACCTCCACACACCGCACTCAGATCCCTACTCTCTGAGTAAGCGGAGAGTGGAGACACCCTGCAGCCTCCCAGCTGAACTACAGCCTGGGACCAAACACCTCCAGTTTGGGAGCATCTGGCTGGACACAGCAGGCTCTGCAGGGAGGCATAGTACAGGAGGACACTCAGGCAGCTGAAGCCACTTCTCAGCAGCTGGAGCCAGGCTGCTTCTTCTGCTGGGTCTGTCCCAAAGTGGGAACTTGAGACAGAGCCATTTTCACAGCAGAAGCGCTACCAGATAGTCTGAGGAGTCTTCTCTTCTCCATTACCCCAGGACAAGATGTCCTTCCTTAAAAGCAGGTGGTGACACTGTCCCAGGAAGGACGGTAGCTCTGAGGAGCATACCAGCTGCCTGCTTACTTACACTGGGGTACTCGCTCTTCACAGGGAGTTTATTCAGGTAGCTGTAGGAATGGCCCTTCTGAATGGGGCACTGGATCCCAGACTTGCATCCATCGGGCTCAGGAATTGGAAAGGGTATGTCCACATGCAGCATCTCACCATACACCCTCGCTTTGCTGCCCTGGCTCTCGATCTCTGCAGAACACGAAGTGTGAGCACAGTACCAGAACAGGGAACACCTCTTCATCACACCCTCCCCTTCACACACCCTGGAAGCTGCAAGAACACAGCTAAAGGACACTCTTCCTCCCCTGCCACTTCTTCCCACCCAGAACGCTCTCCAGCCACCCTTCCTCACTTCTCTCCAAGCAGTGGGACACAGAGGGGATCACCTCCCCCCGGCACCCCAGCTGGAGAAGCGATGCTTACTGCTGGCGAAGGTGACGTTGATGCTGTAGGATGTCCCCTTATGGAGCAGGCAGGGCTGCGTGGGGCAGGGGCTCACGTTCACCTCTTGAATGCTGCCGTCTTTGGAACCTGCAAGGAAGACCCAGGTTTACCGGGCCTGCCCGGTGCCGTGGGGCCCGCTCCAGCAAGAGGTAAGCAAGGAGCAGGGGTGGGGGGTGAGGGAGGCTGAGCACACATCCATGGTGCTAGGGCCATAAACACCCACCTGAAGGAAAACCAGCCTCTACAGGGATTTCTGAGCTGAGCCCTCACCTGATAAAGGAGAGCAAACCAGAAAAGGCAGGATTAGAGAGAATCCTAAAACCCTTCAGCGCAGCCCTGTGTTTGCTCCCTGGTTTGCCTAATCTGCCTTGCAATCCCTCTGGGGGTCTCTGGGTTCTGCTCAGGATAAAACAACCCTCACAGCTAATTCC